TTATGTTTTTATAATAAATTAGATGTACCTACATTTTTTTCATATCTCCTGAGTTTAATTTCTTCTCTTGTCCTTCCCTTTCTATACTTTGCATAAGATTTCTTACTCTGAACAGAATGTTGTGATAGATATGTGTTGTCTATATTTAGCAATGCTGTATGGATATGCCTGTAATACATTGTCACCATACAAATAAACACATTTACACATTTTAAAATATACATATGCTATATTAAGGATGATCCTTTCCCAAGAGGGTAAAGATCCTTTAAAAGTCTGATATCACATAACAGCCGCTAAGAATTTAAATTACCAGAATGCTGAACATATTATATTTTATAAAAATTCTCTTCATAACAATTCTTCTTTGGAAAAATATAAAGTACATTTGGACATTTTTTTAAAACATCAGAATAATTGGGATCATATCTCCCTAAGGTATTTTTATTACTACACTTTGTATGTCAATAGAATAGAATAGAATAGAATAGAATAGAATAGAATAGAATAGAATAGAATAGAATAGAATAGAATAGAATTCTTTATTGGCCAAGTGTGATTGGACACACAAGGAATTTGTCTTTGGTGTATATGCTTTCAGTGTACATAAGGAGAGTAAAATATATTAATCAAAAATAACAAGATACAACACTTAGTGATAGTCAAGATTACTAATAAGCTATCAAATCATACTGGGAAACAAATAAAAACAATATAAATTGAAAGATACAAGCAACATGGTTATAGTAATAAACGGGAAGAGATAGGTACTAGTAAGGAAGAGAAGAAGAATAGTAATAGAGTCTTAGTAAATAATTTGACAGGGTTGTGGGAATTAGTTGTTAAGCAGAGTGATGGCATTCGGGGAAAAAACTATCCTTGTGTCTAGTTGTTTAGGTGTGCAATGCCCTATAGCGCCTTTCTGAGAGTAGAAGTTGAAACAATTTATGTGCAGGACGTGAAGGGGTCTGTAGATATTTTCACAGCCATCAAATACAATTTTGTTGATTTGTATCAACAAATACAATTAATTCAGTTAAGGTTGGCTATCATTCTTTCATTTTTGGTCTTTCCTGCTGATAGCCAAACCCCCTTTAAAATAACGCTGAGCAGCAGGGATTATGGCCGTTATTTTGACATAGGGTCGCTTGGGTGCAAGGGCATTTCCAGAAGCAACTGTCACCAGCCCAACGTGGAAGGGAAAAAAGCAGCCTCTTGTTTTAAGGAGATTTGGCAGATTAAAATTAAATCCAGGTCTCCTACATTTAGCTGTCAAAAGGAGGAGACGAGAGGCCACCGAAACCTTCGTGTTCAGAACTACTGTGTATCTCTGGACGGGGAGAAGAAGATTCGCCTAGCCTGGACTGCTGGAGAAAGTGGCTGTTCACAATTGCAAAGGCGGTACGTTTCGACCAACACAGCCCTTCGGGGTGGTTTGAAGCAATTCGACGAAGAAGCAATTTTCTTTAAAGAAGATTTCACCTCCATTACCTTCTTAGAAATCTTAGTCTCTTCCTCCGTCGCCATCATCAGACAAGCGCCGGGGCTTTTCCCCCAGAACTACGACCAGCGAGTCAGAATGCCGCGATAGGCAGAGAGGCCTTATGCTAAAAAAAAAAAGCAAAAAAAAAAGCACCGAAACAGCCGCTCTACACACTCGCCTTTCCCGTCCGCCTCCCCCCCACCATCCCCTAACTCGGCCTCTCCTTTATCTCTATGGTGCTAGGAGATTGAACTGCCGCCATTTTAGGTCTAGAGATTGCGAACAGGAATCCTTTGTTCAGTGAGATGGGTCACGGAGCAGCGCGCGCGTGTCGTCTGCATGCACGCGCACGCGCTCCTTCCCGCGCGCCGCTGTGTAGCGTTCCCGTCTCTGAGCTCTCAAGGTGGAGCTGGGAGAGGGCGGGAAAAAGGCATGATAAGAAATGGGAGAGGAACGGGGAAGTTAAGCATAATACACGCTTGGAGGGAGGGGGAGGAGCTATAATCCCCAGTACAGTAAATGCTCTTGAACTCATTGAGACATGCTGTATACTGAAGGTTGTGTTCCCCATTTCCTTCTATGCATTCTCAAGAGGACGGGTTTCGCAGGACAGCGCGCGAATGTATATATGTTTCGAAAGCTAAACTGAGAAGAAATTTTAATAGTGCAAGCATTTGGGGACTGGGTTTTATCTTGCAGAGGGATAGTTTTAAACATTTTAATACTCCTAATCCCAGGCTGCACTGATGCACACATTATTTGACACAATATTTATTGTGTGTTTTGCTTTCGTTTAATGAGTAAATTTCAGAGTCAAGCATGCCTGTCCTGTGTTTAGCTACATAATTTCATCATATTGGTTAAATATTTTATATATATATATATACATCTTTTAAAATTAAAAACACCTAGAAGGCCCCCGTTGTGTACTCTAATAGATTGACTAGAGAAACTATCAGTAGCATAGAAGTCTCTGGGATAGACTTTCTGGCTTGAAAATTGGAGTTGTAGTGCAGTGTATCTAGAGAGTATCAGTTTAGGGAAGGCTGGGTTAAAATATCAGACTAGGATGATTTATTCATAATTCTATACCTGCCTCACAGTTTGGCCTACCTCAAAGGATAGTTGTGAAGGCAAAATGGAGGAACCCCAGTATGGCACTTTAAAATCCTTAAAGTCATGCTGCCTGGGTGTATTACAATATTTTTATAAAAGTTATGTGAAGATATTTGAAATCTTGGGAACCCTTTCAAAATTCCTCTTCCCAAACGTTCAATGCTTTTATCAATAAATGTATTACATTTTAGATATCCCTAGTAAGACCATTTTCATTACAATTTGCAAAAATGTCACAAAATAGCAAGTACATTTTTGTATGTTCAAGGCACTGCGAGTAAGTTGAGAGAAGGTAGAGGAGAGAAAATATCTTATAAGGGTAGTCCTCGACTTAAAACCGTTTGTTCAATGACCATTCAAAGCTACAACAATGCTGAAAAAATGGATTTATGGCCATTGCAGCATCCCTGTGAGCACATGATCAAAAATTGGGTCTTGGCAGCCTACCCGCACTTCCATGTGCAGGGCCACTCCAACACTCTCCACCTGCTTATCTCTCCCCCACCCCCAACTCCATCTTTGCCCTTTGGCTGCCATGCATCCTACCTTGCAGGGTGGCAAGCAGGTTCTGTGGAAACTGCAGTTGCCCCAATCCAGGCCCAGCCCCAATATTCTGTACCGCACTCTGAGACCCCTGACCCCTGCACTTCACTGCCCCACCTCACCTTTACCATTCTGCTGATGAGGCATGCCTGGCCTTGATGCAGGGTAGGGCTGGACTGGACTGAGTAAGAAAGCCGAAATCAGTCTCTGAGTGGTAGCGCACCTAAATTGTGTTCTTTAGAGGCAGTGCCAAGCCCATCCAGAGATTACACTGGTTTTGATAGACAAACACAATGAACCTACAGCAACTACATCTTGCTTGGGTTCAACTTCAGTCTGCCTTCAGCCTCCAGATACCAGGATAAGATGCTGAAAGCTACTTCAGGAGGTTATAGGGAGATATCTTAATGATAACATTTTATATATAACTTGTACAGACTTACAGAAAATTAATGAAAATAGCTGTCTGATAAGAATTCCTGACATTTGTAGGAAGAATAGGAATTTGTAGGAATTCATTATAAGATATAGGTCCATCTGCCATCTGGTGGTTATATATAACATTGTCTTTGCTTTTAAGAACGTTTGCTCATTTATGTTAACAAGATTGCAGTATTATATGCTCTTTTAATTGTTAAAAATACATAGATTTTCTTTGTATGGCTAGAATGGGGAAGGTGAAAGCAAGTTCATATTATTTGAAAAGCAAATTAAGGAAAATTTAATTCACTGTAGTCTCACTCATCTCTTAGTTATAGTTAGTACTAGTTATATTTTAAATTAATGTACAGATAATCGTTTGCAGAATAATACCCATTGGCATGGTTTGCAAGAATGAGTAAGAAAATATTCCTAAAATAATTCAAAGAAATAAAAAAGTGCAGCAAAGTTAAAACATTTTAAAAGACATATCCCCGCTTACAACGTTAAGGTAAAAGCTCTGTTATCCTAAGCATCTTTAGCAGGGAGTTAGCCACACAGTAGCATTCTGAAAAGATTTGAAAAGCATGTATAAGATTATTTCATAAAATTTCCTCAGATTTAATGAGGCAATTAATATAATCATTAAAATGTTGATAGAGTTCTTGTATTTGCTGAACCATATTCTGCATAATGCAATCAAAACACAGTGCTTAATACTTGCTAGGGAGTACTACATGAGTTGTACATTCAGGAATAGTACTGACTACATGAATGGAATGTAGGTAATTTGTGCTGTAAGAGCTAATAAGATTACTACATATTGTGCAGTATGTGTGATGTAAGTACTGTTTTTGTTCAAAATGTATCTTTATGTGCTGATGAATCAGTGTAATCACAGTAAATTCATGATAATTATTTATATAAAAGCTTATGTCTTTAAATAGGCGTTGTGTAATGATAAAGTAAGGAAGACAAACCCTTACTGTGAGCTTATAGACTTAATTAATGAGAAAAGAGATGGAATATAAAAGGAGAAGGAAAACAAGGTAGAAATTACTGGCGTGAAGTTTAGCTGGAGAACCCATATTACACATTTAACCAAGTGACAGTATTTCAAAATACAGTGAATGACTGACTCAACATTAAAATCTTTTGCTAGGTTAGACTATCTGGTTCTTTTCCTATCAATAGACACCCAATTATCTTTGGCCGCACACACACACACACACACACACACACACACACACACACAAAACCAGGATAGGAGCCTAGATGTATCTAGTTGTTTGTTATAGACACTTGGTATTCAAAGATGAATGACCTCAAATGAATACTGTACTTAAATATGATAGCTTACACATAACACTTCAAGTAGTAGCTGGAAATGTACTGAATAATATAATATGAACATACTGAATAAATTAAAAGGCATGCATTCAAATTAATGTGTTATTTTATTTTTTTTAAAAAAATCATAATGTTTATAACATTAAATTAGAAAGGAAAACAGAATATCAGGTAACTTGAATTATCTCGTGAGAAATATCAAATAAATCTAGTGGAATCAGTTCCTGATCTTCATCAATTGTTTGTTTATGTCTGATACTCCAGGAGCTCAGTTTCCTAAACAGTTCTAAGAAATATGCAATTTTACCTTTGTTTCTCTCTTTCTTAGCTTTATTGCAAGGTTTATTTTTCACAGTCTTGTATTTCCCATGCTGTTTTTTACTTCTAAATAATGATTTTAAATTTCTGTAACTGCAAGTATTGATTAATTTTGTAGTTTCTGTTTTTGTTTTTTGCATTTTTGTTTCAATGTTCAGGAAAGCCATGAATCTGTCATTCAGTTTCTTGAAGTTTGCTGTTAATTGAGGTAGTTTTTCTGACAGTTCTAGTAGATTAACAAATTCAGTCATCCTTCAAAAAGCCTCTCGATGTTTACGGCTTTCAAGTTCTAAGAACAGGAAAATATTATTAACTTATTAATAATCAGTAAAAGCCTTAATATTTAGACATTGTTAAAAGTTACTAACCTTGTTTCTGTTAATGAATTTGGCAGATATCCATGGATCAAGACATTGTATACATAAATATAGTGTCAGTGAAGTTCTTCGAAGAATGAGTAGTATTCTGTTTCTATGGAAGCAGATGACATCACTATTGGTTGAGTTACTTCATATACATCACAGTCACTCATGCCCTGGTTACTTCCCGCTTGGATTACTGCAATTCCCTCTACATGGGCCTGCCCCTGAGATGCACCCAGAGACTCCAGCTGATCCAGAATGCAGCTGCACGGGTTGTTATGGGAGCCCCTCGTTACTCCCATATAACACCCCTCCTGCGTGAGCTGCACTGGTTACCAATGGTTCTCCGGGTCCGCTTCAAGTTGCTAGTCCTCACCTATAAGGCCCTTCATGACTTAGGTCCTGGATATTTGCATGACCTTCTCCTGCCTGCCTCTCACCGTCCTGTTCGCTCACATAGGGCCGCTCTCCTCATTGTTCTGATGGCGAGCCAATGTCACCTTGCTGTGCCCAGGGGTAGGGCGTTCTCTGTGGGTGCTCCCACCCTCTGGAATGAATTACCTACTGAGCTCCAGACGGCTCCTGATCTCCGCTCCTTCCGTCGGGACTTGAAGACTTGGCTTTTCAAACAAATAGGCTGAGACTGATTCCGGGCTTTATTATTTACTACTAATTAATTATTTGGATTAAATTATGATTTTATTGTACTTGTTTCTTAACTTGTGTTCGCCGCCCTGAGTCCTTCGGGAGAATGGCGGCATATAAATATATGTAATAAATAAATAAATAAATATATCAGCTCAGAAATACAGACAGATTGTGCATATAAGAATATTCATCAAAGACTACACCTGAATAATTCCACATTAAATTGGATATTTGCTGGTAGGGATCCTATCTGATGGCTTTACGTAGATGTAACTTCAGTAATCTTAGGTCTTCATTCTGGACATTTAACTGTTTAGTATTTCTCTTTAACGGAATAGGACAGCATCCTAAGATGTATAAAATCATGAAAATTTTCATGACTTCAGCAAAGTTATGAAAACTTCTGTGCCAAGTAAAATCAAATCAAATCCATCACCTAAGCTATTCTTAGCCACCATCTGTGAAAACTAATTAGTATAATTTGTATACTACATCTGTTCTTATAACATAGATTTCAGAAACGCCTCTTTCTACACTGATGTCATGCACTTTATAACTATAATAGTTGCTATACAAAAGCACGGTGAATGAAATACTGACTTTCAACTGTAGATATTGTAGCATACTGGAGTGTAAAGCATACAGTGACATGTATCCTTTTTATATTTACAAAATTATATTGTGTATTCCAGTGGGTGTCAATTCATTGCTTGATGAAATACCAAGTGCTGGCTATTACCTTTAAAAAGATTGAAATAATGCCTTTCTGTGGGTGCCTCCATATCACTAAGATCATCTGAGGTTTGCTTAGAGTTGTTCCAAACTTATCTCATGGAAATGATAGTGTAAAGTGGGTATGGAATCATTTTGTGCTTTGGTTTTTTGATCTCTTCCAAATTGAGGGTATGTATTAGCTATTATCTCCCTTTAAAAGTTTTCATTGTTCTTTTACATTTGTGTTTGGTTTTGTCTACCAATAATTAGTATGGTAAACAACCTGAATAAATAGCTTCTATACTGGCTCACAAAGAGCAAAAACCTGTGTGTTCAAAATAAGAGAAGTAATTGTGATGGAAATATGTAAGAACCATTATCCAGACAAAGAGGGCTGAAATATTTTTTAAGCCCTGGGAAGCTAGATAATATTCAGAAGCAATTCAGGCAAATGCCTTTCTGATTCACTGTGCTATACTTCTCTATTTCTTATAGTTCAATCAGGTTTGTAAGGTTGTTATATCCTCTTAATAAAATAATTTTATTAATAGTTCCAGTCTTTGGAGATGATTTTCTGTTCTGGTATTCTAGTAGTGCTGGCACCTACATAGCATCACCTAGACCAGCGATCACCAGCCGGTGGTCCATGGACCACTGGTGGTCTGTGAGAAAATTTTGGTGGTCCACAGAAAAAGTATTTGCATTTTTTATATTGCACTAAATACTATTTATCTTTTTAAAAAATTCATATTAGTGGTCCACGGGATTTAAAATTATGAATTTAGTGGTCCCTGAGGCTCAAAAGGCTGGTGACCCCTGACCTAGACAACTAAATAAATGCTGATAATCAATGCCAATGGGTTTTAAGAGCCTTCCTCCCATGTGATTATAGAACCATACATCTCACAGCAGTGACTCTGGATAGTGTATAATGATTAAAACAAGGTATAATTCATAATGCCCTGATTAAAACCTGCCCCCCTCCAAAGGTAGAGCATTCCTAACCGCCTAGCCTGAATCCCTTGGGGAACAGATGGGTCTTCAGAGCCTTACAACGGGCTAACAAGAGTCAGGGCCATGTATATCTTGGGTGAAGATGCTATTCTTCTGGACAGGCAGAGCCATAGAGGAGGTGCATCTTTGGACTCTAACAAAAGGGCATTATTGGAGGAGACCCAAAGCATGGCCTCTTTGCTAGATTTGGTGGCATGGACAAAAACAATGGGGCAGGTGGTCTTGCAAATATCCTGATTGTAAACCATGTAGGACTTTATAGATGGTAATCAGCATCTTGAACTGAACACAGAAGCCTTACAAAACAATGGCCTCTGGTTCAACCTCTTCCCCCCCCCTCACCAAATGGAACCAGCTCCAAAGAAAGGAGAGTCACTGTAACATGGTGTGTTCCAGTCGTAAACTAAACCAATGATACTATGATCGACACTGAATGCTGCAAGATCAAGGGGAGCCAGGATGGCTCCACTATCCCCATCCTGAGTCCGCCAAAGGCCATAGACAAGTGCAATCAATGGCTGCCTCAGTACTATAATGAGGCTTGAAATACCAAAGGGAAGACTGGCGTCTGGATAAGAGTCCACCTCTGCTGGGTCCTGCAATGATTGACTATATTAATTTACTAACTTTATTTTTGGTCTCCAGATGTTGAAAATGTTATCCACTTGAATATAGTTTCATAGAGGTTCTTTAAGTCTCCACATACAGATTTAATCATAATTATCTATGCTGTCTTATTTTCCATTTCTTATTGAGGCAAAACAACTTCTGGATTTCATGTTTTTTTTCCTGCTTAGTCTAGTGGAATGTATTTAAGATTAGTGTGGCTTGGCTCACTTGTTTCACTGATTTTCAGATGGTTTACTGGTTTCTTAGTAAACCACATACTGGTGTATATGTGTGAGATTCCCAGGTTGAATTTCCCAGCATCTGAAGTTGAAGGAACCTAAGTAATAGATAGGAGGCCTGGGAGAAATCCATTTCATAGTCTGGAAAGCTAATGTTCTACTCTTAAGGAATAGGCTACAGTGACCTTTGTTTCCACTCATGCTTTTCTGTTCTTTGCAATTGAGAAATGTGTATATTTATATTATCTATCTATCTATCTATCTATCTATCTATCTATCTATCTATCTATCTATCATCTAAGCAATCTCACAGCAGAATCCTAGAGAGTTTGTGTGCCTTTTTGAACACCAAAGGATATAATGGCATACAGTTTTTGTCATTTCTGTTGAGTCCATGAGATGTCTTACAGCAGACTTTCGGCCTAAGTAGCCTTAACTCTTTATTTTCTCATTATTTATCTGATTTAATTCTGCCACTACTGCTAAAAGAAATATTTATTTATTCTGGCATACCAATATTTTGACTTAAAAATGTAAAAATAAATTTAATACTACAATAGTGAAAAATGATTGAAAAGATACATTAAAATTGACAAGATCAAACCACATATTTTTATAAAAACATCTTTTTAATAAATTAATGGATTCAAGTTTATAATAGTTAGACGTAACAATGTAACAAAAGTCAACTTCTTCTATTTCATACAAATACTATGCATTACAGTAAACCTATTTTTAGTTTACAAAAATGTGTTGGTGAAAACTATCTTAAACCACCGAAAAGTGAACATCAGTTGTTAACAGAGTTGTATTGCATGTATTCAAGAAGAACCTCACCATATTTTTATAATGGAACCATCCAGTTTACTAGTGTAGTCTGACATTTGTTAGCAATTAATTTTTGACTTCTTAAGTATGAATGACATCTTAAAAATGGCTTTAATAAGACAAAACACCAAATAACTACACTATTCTCTTTGATAAGAAACAAAATAGAAATTGGGCAGATCAGAGAACCCAAAATGTATTTCTTCTACCCGTTTTTCTTTTAAGGTTGAGATATCCAGTATTATAGGTAGAAAGGGTTTTTAGCTTTAATGCACACTATGGCTACTGGAGAAGTGCATTCCCTGCTGAGTAGTAATGCTGGTGAAACACCTTCAACTGTTGCTAGTTAGGAAAACAGATTTTGGCAGGTTGATTTGTTCAAGGAATCAAGTATAGAATTGATATAGCACACGTGATAAGTTATAGAACTCCCATCATTCCCTAAGATATCGTAGTAGCTTCAGAGTTCAGCTCTTTGTGGACATAGAGTCAACTATAAAATGCCACAATATGTATAATAGAAAAGTCCAATAAAATCAGAATAAACAATCATGTTATTAAAGAACTGCCATGTATTTCCTTGCATTCCTTACATGCTGTCGTTCTGGATGACTATAAAGACATAAAATGTCAAATTATTCTGTAATTAATAATAAAGCCAGTTATTTTATAGAATTTGATGGAGATTCCAGCAGCTCTGGATGGGTAAAATTTCATGGCACTGGTAAGTAATGTCAAAAAATATGTGCATCGTCCTTCCTTGAAAGGAATGGAGAAATTTCTATCCATCAATGTATGAATAATTAGGAACAGAGTTTTCTTTGTTAACATGTCAACTTCCTTAATAGATGGAGATCCATACTATAGGTAGGAAATCTCTTTTCCATATCAGTTGAAAAACCAAATTATCCCATTGTCAGTTTACAAAGGAACACTATGATTTTAAAAGTGTGTTGTCAGAAACCCAATTTAGATGATTGGTTAAAAAACATAAAGCATGGGATGTAATTAACCAGTAAAAGTTACTCTGGTTAAATCATAACTATGACTAGTAAGACAATTTATTTGCTTATTAACAGTACTGGCTAAAATATGCAATATTTTTAATACCCATTTTAGATTTTTTTTTTAATTTTCAGCAGGATGATGTTACATACCTGAGTATTGTTTGCAATAGTAAACATATCCACAAAGGAGCATAAAATGAAGAATTTATATTCTTCACTAATGCAAGCCTTGAAAAGCCTTGGTTTAAACACAGTTTCCAGGTCATTCTTTTCCATATATTTGGAAGAGTCTTAGAACTGCATATATAAAAATCAACTCAATTTCAATCAGATGCCAGTACTATTGTTAATCTCTACCCCAATGAAATAATGTAAGCAATAGTACACGTTAAATAGAAGATATTCCTCTAATATTTTTGCAATTGATATTTTGTAGTTCACACAGTACATATTGCTATTTAATGGCACAAAAATGTCTATAACTTATTCATCTAAAACACTCATTGATTCAGCAAAAAACACAGTGAGCTGGATAAAGCATTTGGTTTCTTTGTTTGAATCTGGCTGCTGAGAAAGGCAATTACAACTGTCACTTCTTTTGGAGTTTCTGAATTAGAATTATGTTTAACAACACTTTACATCTGTTGGATGATCCACATTTTTAGTTTCCAAATGACCTATTATTTACCATGTTCTAAATTAACTCATCCACAAGTTTATATGAATCTAATTTATCTGTTTTATCTGCATTGATCTTATAAGTTCATATTTTAAATATGTGAAACAGGCACTATTATCTGAAAATCTCAGAATGATTTTTCATATCTACAAATCAGATAAAAGAATGAGGCAATTGAAATAAAATGACTGCAATTTATCACACAAAAGAATGCACTTGTATTTGTAATAAAATATAAATTTGCTCATTGTAAATTGAAAAAAATTGACATAGAAGTCACATTTTAGGAACATTTCTGCTAAATAGTAAGACTACTTCCTTTCTTTCTTAGGCAAAATTCTTTGTATTGATAATTCTGTACCCTGTTTACACATAGTATTTACTAGTTCCATGTATACCAACAAGAGTTGGAAGAGGCATACTCTAGTCTAACCTATTCTATTCCAAGGCAGTAGCAAGGAACACTGACCATTACTTTACTTCCACTGATGTTGATGAAGTTATGCAGGCTGTACTGAATTTATTCATTTTCTTTTAATGGCTGATATCCCTCGGGGATTTGTAAACAGCAGCACACAATACTGTAAACAGTTTAACTTCTGCTCAATTAGTCCAAGTCATTTGATTAGATTAAAATGAAGATTGCATTTGAGTTCTTCTCAAGTTCTTTTCATTTCATCAAGACACTTTTTTCACTACATATAAAATCCTGAGCAGAACACCATGGGTTTGAATTAGTTCTCTAATTGCAAACCAAAGACACCATAAAATGTCTATTTACTATTGTATAAGGGAAGTCAGTTATTGACAAAGCTGCCAAAATAACAGTACTTTGGACTAAACCTATATTTTAGTATGATGGCCAGTTCTTGCCGCTGATGCTGAACTTGGTAGAGAAGCTGATGTTGCAGCATCTTCTGCTTCTTCTAGGACTTCCTGAAGCTCTTGGCTTACGCTAGACTGAAGGGCAGCAGGTGTAAGCCATTCTTTTGGTAGACAACTCTGGAGAAAAGGAATACAGGAACTGAAATAGGCAAGACGATTCACCCAACGAGGAATCTCTCTTCCACAGAGAATCTAAATGGAATTAACAAGTTAATCGTTTTTAAAGTATATGTGGGCTCCTATCTGAAATCAGTAATTTCTCTCTCTCAATTGAAATATTCAAATATGCAGTTATAGTACAAGGTAAATTTCTATTAATGCCTGCCAGACTGATAATATAAGTTATAAATCTAATTTTCAGACAAAAGTAAGTTTGACAATTCTGAAGTTGCATGTACTGTGCATCCATTTTTTCCAACAAAGACTAATTAGAACATAAGGACAATGAAACTTCACTTGTATGTATTGAGGGTAATGTGGGTCATGTCATAATAATATCCCAAATACCACAAATATTGACAAGTATGTATTGACACCACTTTAGCCATATCTGGATTACATTAGATGTGCTAGACTTGCCCGTTATTTTAAAGTGATGCCTATATGGAAATTTGGTCTACTGCATCCAAAAATCTGGGAAATGGAGGTCCATTAATAAAAGTTGCAGTAATACTAGTAAAAAATAGTACAATAAAAATTATATAGGAGGTCACCAATGCTGTTTCCCCTATTATTTTCTTCTTATGTATTATTTTCAATAAACAGAACAAGTCCCACCCTCCTCAGTTGCATCTGAGAAAACACACAGATTATGTGTTCATGAAATAATTCTTTGATAGTTTAACTGACCTCTCCTCTAGAGATGTAAATTGAATATTCTTTCATTGCCAAGTACAAACTGGAAACACAGAGGTAATTTAAGGAGTCTATTTATAAGATATAAAAAGGTTATTTTTAAAAATAATACAAATTAAACTTGCCTCTGATAAAGCTGAAGAAAAGTGATTGCAGTTTTTGTGCATTAAGTGATAAGCATTTCCTTTAAATTCTTTTCCAAGTTCTTCTATAATCTTTTCTACATCTTCCTCCATGAAGTCAGTACTTCCAAGAACAACAGCTTCTCTGAAATAAAAGACTGAAAATTAAAGGATTCTTGCAATTCAGACAAGAGTTTTTTGATTTCCATTCTCTTTTGAGAACACAGATGCACTTCTGGAAACCAGCCTTCATTTAAAACATACTAACGTTTTGAACTTCGTGTTCAATGAATATTTCACAATATTGCTTTTTTACAGTTACGCTGTTTTATATATAGGAACATCAACTTACTTGTGTAGGCTTACTTTTTATGGGAAGAGCTTTTATGGGAAGAACTTTTTATATGACAGCACAATAAATAATATCTTACTATCTAAACAAGGATTAAAATTGGCTCCTTTTATTAATAGAAGATGGGCAGCTACTTTTGTGTTTGGTCATACAGTTTAGAATTTACAAGTTGCAGTTAATAGATGTATGGAAACTGTTTAAATAATTTCAGAACACACTAATGAAAATTGCTTACTTGAATTTAAATGTTTCCCCTAATTCAGATGCATTGCCTGGTAAAATTTCAAATATTCCAGAAAAAGGATATGGATGACCACCATAAGCAAATTCTGAAAGACAAATTCACGATATTATCCTTAGTCAGTTGTTAGTAATGCTTGACTTCCGTATAATTTTCAGGGCATGCTTAAAACCGATATACTATCATATAGAAAATACTGCTACAAAATCTAGACAAACCTTAAGATTTGGTACTTATAATATGCAAGATTTATATTTTAGTTGGGAGTATTAGGTTGAAAGATAGTAAGGCAAATGCTATTTATGCCAAGTAAATCTCCCTCCTCTGAGGGAGATAGGTGGTTAAGAAAGATGAACTATAAACAAACAAACGAAGTATCTTTATGTATAAACCATGAAAAACAACAACCCCAGAATTATTGCAGTTTTGGCTGTGGTAAAATGTGCCACACTTCCCTGGTCAGATGAACATATTTCAGATGCTTGGCCACCTGTTCACATTTATGACCAGTTGCTGAAGTACCCTGTGATCATCTGATTGCCATTTACAATCTTCTCTGCTAGTCTCTCCAGAAAATCAACAAGGAAGCAAATAAGGACATTGGATTTGTCTGTTTTGCTATCATTTCTGTCCCACTGAAATGGTGAATGCTAGCAAATACCAGCATTCTGAGCCTTCCAGTTTTCACCAGATTTGAGATCCACTCTTCTAATATGCCAAGGAATTTCCCCTCTGAACACCAGTTTTCATGATCATTCAGAAGGCCCCTTCTCCAAATTGTCCTAAAAATGACGGGAATGGGGCCTGTTTACAGATGAAATGAAGTAGCCTTAGTAGGCAGCAGCTGCAGAACAATGGAAAGCAATAGCAATAGTAATTAGACTTATATACTACTTCATTGTGCTTTACACCACGCTGTAAATGGTTTACAACAATCTGGCTCCTCATTTTACCAACCTTGGAAGGATGGAAGGCTGAGTCAACCTTGAACCAGTCACAATCAAATGCCTTGCCGTGGGCAGAGCTAGCCTGTAATACTGAAGTCTAACCACTGTGCCACCATGGCTTTTTCCCCCCCTCTTACACAGAAAGATAAGTTGACCTGGGCATGGTGGGGCATGGAATGAATCCAAGTCTCCCAGATGTGGTGGGGTGGGGAAAAGGCCCAGATCTCTTGGCTATGGTGGGAAACCTGGGTTCTCTCCCTGCCCCACCATGCCCAGGAGGCCTAAGTCTTCTCCTGGCATTTCGCATAACAAATCCAAATGGGAGAACTGGATTGTGATAAATTCAAATTTAAAAACTGATGTGCTGCTCCTTCCAATGTCTTCCTATGCACACAAAAAGTTCCATTTTAATTATTCCTTGTAATAAAAAAATATAAGGCTAAAGTTAGGTACATACCTCTACCATATATCTCAATTCCTGAGTGAAATACTCCAATTCCAAGGGAGGAAGTGTATTCATTCATCCAGTACTAGAAAAGAACATGGGAGATGTAGCTAAATGTAAATAATTTTTATTTACATCCCACATGCCAAGGCAATTAACTCTGAGACGAAAGACCGTTTTAATTATTTTTTCCTGAAATGTTCAAAACATTGTTTGTTAACCATTAAGACAGTCATAGATAGAGCACAGTCTAATTTAATTAGGCCCCAGGAAGCTTAACAATCCAATGCTTGTTTATTTGCTATATCAAAGAACAATCAGACAACTAAATTCAAGCAACTTTTCTCACCCATTAAAAATACCTTTTACAGCTACAGAAGAGGAACAGCTTTTACTGGACAAAACAGACTGAAACTGATTTGAACATGGATCTGAAAGTGGATTTAAAAATGCAGACTAAAAAAGTAATATGGAAAAAGATGCCATATTGGAAATACAAATGACACTCATGAATGAAGGCTATAGTTTTAATAATGAAAGGTGACATACAAATAATAAATCAGAAGAATGACTTGGACTAGCTTTCTTATCTTGGCTGTACAAAATAGACATGTTAAACTAGTGAAGGAGTTTCTGAGAGAAGACAGAGAAAATGATAAGAAATCAACTTGTGGGAATAATTTGAAATGATTAAAGATCAAGTTTTTAAAAAGTAAACAGAAAGAATATAAAGTGAATTTATTTGATCAAGATTAAAATATGTTGCTGTTTCTGGTAGCTCTTAACAGACATAATCAAATCAAATCCCAAAATCAGAATTACATTTCTCTTAGTTTGTTGCAAAGACCAAATGTTAACTTCATTAACAACTCATTGCTGTCTCTTATATTACAATAATACTTTTTTTTCATTCATACCTCACCCCATTTTCTATACTCTTTTAACAAAAATACTTAATACACATATAACCTCTTTTTCCAGTAGCCTACATTTTTTTAATCCCTCATATTCCTGAAATGTCTTAACAATTAGGCATTACAAAAAAAGAAATTTAAAAACTATTAAACAATGCCTTATTTAGATATCAAAAATTAATCTACTACCTCATTAGACATTTTCAAAAGAAATACTATCCAAATAACCACTCAATGTCACCAAAATAACTAATTATTTAACCATATTCAGATAAACATTTTTCCTTTCTCCTCCCAACTATCCTTAAGTCCTATGCTTAGGCTTGGAGCATCTAGGTGTTCGAGAGCTCTAAGCACCTAAAACTTTGTTTAGGCAACTAGGTCACATAATGATACGAGATATGATGAAGTACATACATACAACTAGATTTTGGGATATCCAGTAAGAATAATTGGGAATAATTCTAGGACCATTATCGATGAATTTACAAAAAACAGTAATGGCCACTCAGAAATCTATTAAAAATGTAAAATCTATCTGATGTGAAAATCAAGTATAACAAGATTTAAGATTAAGTGCTTTATAAAAGAAATATAAAATGAATGTGAAAACATATCAATTCTTTCTAACTTTGACTACCCAAAAAAGTCTATCAAAATAAAGTATATTCCAACAGTTGTTACAAAGTGGTTATTCCAACAGTGATAATAAAACGAAAACATTTTAATCTTGGTTTACAACAGCAACTGAGACCAGAATTTCCTTCGCTCAGCAACAGTCATAAGGCGCTAGATCACGATTGGCAATTCTGGCAATCCCAAATTTTCATTGTTAAGAAAATCCCCACAGGTTGTTAATAAGCAAGACCATCATATTGTCACCATTTGTGAATACCTGCTGGTTTCCCCATTGACTTTGCTTGACTGAGAAGACACTGCACCAGCTGGAATTCTGAGGACTGGTTGTAAGTCCCTCTTGTTAAGCACTATTGAACATTCATTGAGCAAGTGATGTAAATCAAGGACTCGCTGTATTACAATATGATGATCTATCTCTGGAAATTTCTTAAGTTTTCAGCAAAGAGCTTCCTCCAGAATTCATTTGGTTCCAAACATTTATTCCAAACTTTCCAAAAACTGCAGAAAAGTTTAAATTTAGTTTTCTCGAATATCTTTTATTTCTCAAAAACAGATTGGAAATACTTGTTAATACTTGTTTTCTTTGCCCAGTTTGCATTTCCACAGAAAGCACAGTGAAGCTCTGCTTGTGTGTTAGCATCCCTCAGCAAGGAAGGCGATGAGCTGTTCAATTACTGCTGCAAATGAAAACGAGGAGAAGGCAGGGGAACTAAATTCATTTGTCAAAAACTGGAGAAAAGCAAAGGCCTTCCCTGTGTTACTAATTCATGGTGATTGAAATCACAATAGGCTGCCGAGAGTGCAATCCAATGGCTTTTCCTAAGCCATTTCCATCAGAAACAGACCTCCCTTCTGAATTCTTAGGTGGAATATAATTGGCACAAATCAGAATGCAGCTGCATAAGCAACTCACATTTTGACTTTGCAATGAAGGTAAGAAGCCTTAGGCGTATTTAAGACCAGTAGAGAGACTATAAAATTAGACATCTACTATTCAATGTCTTGCAGGTTGTAGACATGGACATGTTTAAATAAGCTGTTTGCAATTTCAACACAAAGTGAGTACTAACATAAAATAAATTCTAGTAATTTTATTATATCTCTTATAAATTCATAGAACACACTCAGAATGTTCAATTATTGTACAAAGATTTGAAGTCACTGACATTAGCAAGAACATCTTATTTTAATGAGCTGACAGCCTGGTTTTTTTGGTATTGCATTTCCCCCCTTCACCCCCAAAACACTTTCTGGCTTGGTATTCATACATTTCATCTTATTCCCAGAATTATTGCAGTCAATATCTTGTCAATATAGCTACTGAAATCTTAGCATCAACGTTTAACAGAGATATGGGGTAATAACTTGGACATTAGGTGAGATCCTTATCAGCCCTCAAAATTATAGCGATAAAAATATTTATAATAGGAAGCTGGCAGAGCTATACTTTCATAAAATGCCTGAAATAATTTCAGAAGTATAAGAGCTACTTTCTTGTTCTATTTTTTATACCTTTCATCCAGAGACCTTTCCAGATTTTATTTTATATTTTATCAACAGCATCATAGACATGCTGTAATGTTGAGCATATAGCCAGCTCTTCTGGCCCTATATCTAAAACTTCTGAAAGATTTATTATATCTAAATAACTATCTCTCTGATATGTATAGAATATATAGTTTTATAGAATTCAAAGCAGAATTCTATAACATTAGTCTCATTATTAAGTAGCACCAACTGCCTGCAATTACTGCAAGTTCAAATCTCATCAGGCTCAAGGTTGACTCAGCCTTCCATCCTTTCGAGGTAGGTAAAATGAGGACCCGGATTGTGGGGGCAATAAGCTGACTTTGTATAAAATAGAACACCGCTTAGGGTGGGCCAAAAAGCCCTACTAAGCAGGTATATAAAAAAGTATGAAGGCTATTGCTTAATGCATTGTAAGCTGCCCTGAGTCTCCAGAAAAGGGCGGCATATAAATCGAACCAATAAATAAATAAATAAATTATAGCTGGTGTAATATGTTCCTGAAAAATCCCTTACTAAACTGTTATTTTACCTTGTATTTCAAATGAGAATCTAACATTCTCTGGATTTCCTTCTTATCTCCAATATTTGTTTGTTTTAAACCATATTCTGTATCCAGATCATATAATTCAAGTTTTCTATTTTGTGATTCAAAACAGTTTTTATCCAGAAACATACGTTATTATCTTACTACAATTAAATGCTGTAAAGGTATCTCAAACTATCGCCATATTATTTGAATGGCAATTGATTTGGAAAAAAAAAAATTCTCTTGTTCTATAAACTACAATTCTTCTGACAAAGAATTCATAGAATCATAGGGCTGGAAGAGACCTTGGAGGTCTTCTAGTCCAAGCTCCTGCCCAAGGCAGGAGTTGTTTATACAATACCGGAAAAATGGTTGTCCAATCTTTTCTTGAAAACCTCCAAGATAGAGCACCTCAACTGCAGGACGCAAGCTGTTTCACTGATTAATCGTTCTCACTATCAGGAAATTCCTCCTTATTTTCAGGCTGAATGTCCCTTTGATGAGTTTGCACCCATTGCTTCTTGTACTGCCTTCAGGTGCTATGGAAACTAGATTGATGCCTTCTTCCCTATGATAGCACTTTTAGTATTGAAAAATTGCTACCTTGTCTCCCCTGAGACTTTTCTTCATTAGGTTAAACATACCTAGTTGTCTTAACCGTTCATTGTATGATTTAACTTCTAGACCTCTTATCATCTTTGCTGCTCTTCTGTGCTGCTCTACCCCAGCATCTTTTCTATATAGTGGTGACCAGAACTGGACACAGTGTTCCAAAGGTTGCCTCACTAGTGCAGTATAGAATGATATTACTATTTCCTGTGATCTTGATGTATTAGTATTAAAATACAAGTAGTCCTCCTTTACCAACCACAACTGGCACTGGTAACTCTATCCCAAAGCGATGTGGTCATAAAGTGAAACGTGACCATGCCCAACTTACAACATCAGTTCTGTTTTCAATCGTGCAGCAAATCACTCATGATTGTTAAGCATTATGTCACATGACTGACACTTGCAAATTCCAGCAGGCTTCCCCATTGGTTTGCTTGTCACAGGCCAGCTGTAAAGGTTACAAATGGCAATTATGTGATTGTGGGATGCTGGGACCATTGTAAATGCATGCTGGTTACCAAATACTTGAATTGTGATTATATGATTGTAAGGACACTGCAAATGAATGCTGAATGACTGGTCAGTAAGCAAGGACTACCAGTACCATATGCCACTAACTGGGATAAGTTTATCCAAAGTCCATAACATTATTAGGGATATGTGATTAGAAATTCAAACTGAATCAACGTTGCATATTTCAACTATATTAACCATCAAAATATTAAAACATTATTTACTCTTTAACATATCTAGGAGGAGTGATTAAAAAACAGGCAAGTGTAGCCTGTTGGAATTAGATATTCATATGTCCATTAAATTAAATTTCTAGATGAATGTACGGAGAACATCATGATTTGGGGGACTCATTTTCTCTTGTGAAATTTTATTCTGGTGCAAAACTAATTTAAAAGTCTATGTGGCAACTATCATCTGCTTTACCTGTAAAGAGATTAGCAAAACAACTATATAATACTGTATATCAGTTTTATTTTTGTCTGAACCAATTAACCATTAACATTTATCCATACTATCTGAAAATTTCCAATTTGGCTCCCTAATAAACTAAAATTATATAAATTCCACATTTGGCTTCCTAATAAAGTAAAATTATATAATGACCTCTAAAATCTTTTGTTCAATAATAAATAATAAAACTAGAAAGTGTTTTCAATATAATTTTCATTCTGGCAGATTTTGAATCTCTACTTATCTGTTCATCCCATTTTCTTGCTAAAATTTTTCTCATTTGGAAGACTGAAGTGCATAAGCAAGGAAATGACATCATTTCAATCTATAAAACATCTGTCTTTCTTCAGGTACCTGTAGTTCTCAAGTTAGGACAGTAATAGAGCCTGCCTATTATGGTTGTAACTTGTGACAGTCGTAAAGTAAGCCAGTCACATGAACAACACAATATTTCACAAAAATGGCATTTTTGCCCTCCCCAGCCCAAAGGAGCACTCTGCAGGCCTCCCAAAACAGGCCTGTTTTTCGTAAAAATGGGACGGGCAGGGCAGAGCTTTTTTATTTTTATTTTGAATTGCTTTTAGCCACCCAGACTTCATACGTAAGATGGGCAGCCATATACATTTTCTAAATAACAATAAAAATAAAATCAAAACCCTCATATCAGGATTTCTAGTGGGCACCTGTCAATGATCTATACCTCTCTTTCTTTCTGCCTCTGAAGCTGTGAAGAAGTCAAAAAGTAATTTATGTAACCCATGAGTGACCCTCCAAATTAATACATCAATTCTGAGTAGAGTATTGTAGAACTATTACCTCTTGATGGTTAAAGGCTTGTTTGAGACAATTAACATTACTTTCAGGATAACACAATTACTTCATACCAATTTCTAAGAATATGCCAAATACTGCATGATACAGAAATAAAGTCCTTATTCCTTGTCTGATAATGAGACAAGCTTGATGAAATTCTTGGTATTTCTAAAAGATAGATCTGGTAGCAACATTTGCTTCTTTTCCACATAGTCCATATTTGTTTTCATTCTAGCTGCTTATACTGCTTTATCTCAGATCTCCAAAGAATGACAGCAATATCAGAAGATTTTGAAACCCGTATCTTGAATCAACAAGAAGCTGTTTGAATAGATTCTGCCTAGGGTATCTGAAATATGATACTAAGTCCGTTGTTATATCTCAAGCAGTTAAAGTTGCAATTAATTTCTTGTCTGCTTCAAACTTAAGTTTTTTGTTCTTTTAACTGCTACTTGATCTTGCTTTATTTCCTCTTGATTTTATCAACCTTATGAGCAAATTTTGAGAAAAATACTTTAATGTGATAAGAATCCTAAAACAGATTACTTTCTAAGGAATAATATCAGATGAAATTTCAAAGCTACCTGTGAATTTCCCAACTGAATTGGGTGTCAGCAAGAGTTGCCACAAAGTGGGAGAGAATAAATAGTTTCTGGCTTGAAGCCTTACTCCATAACGTAGTGCAATTACAATCTCCCCAGAAGCCAAAGCTGAGATGGTGGCTGTGCTGTAGTAGAAGGAAGAGCCTGCTTCTTAAACTGGAGGCATTCTATCTTCCTAAATATAAAAGAAATTGCAAAAGCAATTTAATTAAATGTTCAGCTTACCAGCTCTCTTCATGCACAGTCTACAAACTTTAATTCTACACCTGTCAGGGAAAGAGAAATAAACTGCTTCTTAGCACATTGCCGTTTTAGTGTTCAGGAACCATTTTAAAAGGAGAAGGGAACATTAAAGATATAAGATGGAGAGTATATTCAACAATAAATGGAAACGTAGTTTGTCACACGATTAAAATTAATTAATTAATGCAAAGTATGCTAGAAAACTGTACCTATTTTTTATTCCTATAAATTTTGAATGGGGGAATAAATATAGAACATCATTGGAAACATTTAAATGACCTTTCTTTTACTGTATAGTTCAAAATTATGACAGTGCTGAATGGATGCACTTATGATACCTGGTTGAAGTTTGTTCGTTGCAGTACCCTGGTAGTCATGCAATCAAAATTTGGGTGCTTTGCAGTGTGCCCACCCCTATCACTGTGAGTTGGCTGACTCATCACCGCCACTACTGTGAGCCAGGAGGCCTTGACTGGGTAGACCCACTGACACCCAGAGATTTACTATATGCCGCAAGGTCTCAGTCAGTTAGGTCCAGTGGCGCACATGTCTTTTCTCTCTCCATCCACCACTTTGCTGGCGGACTTCATCTTCCTGTCCAGCTTTGAGAAAGATTGCCTCTCTGGGTTTGAGGAAAATTGTCTTCACTAGGTTTCTAGCGGAGCTTTACTTTACTACAGCTTTACTGCAGCTGCCGAAAGGCATGCCTTTCGGCAGCTGCAGAGAAAGGGAAAGCAAAGTAAACTCAGGCACGGCCAGTGGTGGTGTAGGAGGGAAAAGGTCAGGTTTCTTGGGATGGGGGGAGGAAGGAGACGTGTGTGCTGCTGGGCTTATCTGGTTGAGGCCATCTGGCCCATGGCAGTTTTCCACATTCCAGTGGGTGCTGAGCCTTCCAAGGCATTCTCTATCCTGAGGTACCTCTGCAATCACTTAATGACCCGTGAGGTAGCTTTAACAACTGCAATGGGGAGAGTTGGGATTGTGGCCACTGAGCAAAGCAACCAGTTACAATGACGACTTACAACTAAAATTCTGGGCTCAATTGTGGTCGAGGACTAATTGTGTTTTTTGTTTTTTGGAGGTGTGGAGGAAGACTGCAGTAATTATCATGTTATAGTATCAAAAATGACAAGGATCACAGTAACTAAAGCACTCCAGGATAATAGACTATAGAAAAACAACCCCACTCATACCATTTTAACTATAAAATTTGTTACATCTTTGGAGTTCCTTTTTGAGCTCTTGATATTTCCACTAAGAGAGTTTTGACTACAGCTAGCACAAATAAAAATAAATAATCTCAAATATAATATTGAGCTTTAATTAAAGCCTTGGCTTGATTCCCTTTTATACTTTTTGCTCCTGATTCTTCAGAAACTAGGCAATTTTAGCCAAAGTTTCTTCAGGATCTCTTTTGCATAGCTGGAATGATAGGCAGGGAAAAATCTACCTTCCAATTTAATCATGATTTTGAATGAAAATGTCAATTTTTAAGGGATCCCAGAATTCTTCATGATATGATCAGTTGAAGCTGTTTTGTTTTAGGTACTAGGACTTAAATCTTAAAACGAACTGGGCCTTTTGTTCCTTGAATTTGAAATCCATATTGTTTTAGAATATGTAAAGTTATTTCCTTTAGTAGGACAATATAAGGTTATCATACCTCCTAGTGATCTGTTATTTGATTGGCTTTCTCTAAACAGCCAGAGAGTTCTTTAAATTTCCTTTTTCAAAATTTTATTCGAAGGGGAAATACTGTCAAGCCCATTCTAGAATAATTTGTGCTGTTTCAATTTGGAAACCTTTAAGGCACAAACTGCAGTGACATCTTTGTAATCTTCAACCTTGATAGATACATTTGTACTGGCTGGCAATTCATGAAGTTTTGATTATCCTCTTACTTCTATGTGAGAAAATAACTTCTCACTGGCTTTTCTCTCATATCGTATTTCCTTATTACCATAGCCAAATCCAACATAACTAGAAGAGATGTTATCCAACAGTTTTCCTCTGCTTTCAGTATTTTTGGTTGTTTTGATTGCGAAGTGGTTCTGTTTACACTCAATTTCCATTTAATTCTTTGCCCTCCCCTCTGGACGGTCCTTTTTCAGAAATATGCTCCTGAACATTTTTCTTTGATTCTTCACCTTCATCATCACAAGCTGCCAGTTCAGCCAGCAATCAGTTCCAGATCTTTTTCCAGCAAGATGTCTCAAAGGGGAAGTCATATTTGTCTTGAGTTTCACGCCTTTTGGCCACAAAACAACTTACCCAATAACTGCATCTATTCAGATAGCAAGCCAGACTAATGGCTTAGTCAGATCCTTGGATCTTCCTGTGTGCCAGAGCGAACTAATGAGCTGTCACTTGTTGGTAAATATAGTTTACCATCTCATTGTACAAGGCACAATGGCTTTTTCCACCTGGAACTACCTGAGAAAGAAGCTATAAACAAACAAAAAACATCTGTGTTCCTATAATTAGTTCTATCTGACTACTAGTTTCCACATCATGCTAAATTATTTTTTTCAATTTTAGTTCAGTGAGTTTATGGGAACCCAACGCTGTCATGTGTAACCTATAGTTTATAGCTCCTCATTATGAGTGAATTCAGCTTGTTTCCCCTCATTAATCAAGCCACTGAGTCAGCTGCTTGCCTTGAGGAATTTCTCTCTTCCCAATGATGGCAGATATGACTACTTCATCCTGGCACAATCTATTCCATTATTTCTCAACCTCTTTAACTTTTAAGACATGTAGACTTCAATCCCCAGGATTTCCCACTGGGAATTTAAGTCCAGACATCTTAAAGTTGCTGAGGTTGAGAAACGCTATCTATTCAATAATTTGTTTAAAGTATAAAACCTTATGGTGTATACTGACATACTAACATACTAGCTATGCTTCACTTCTAATCAAAGGTCATTTACCAGGGAATAATGTTTATGTATATTGACAACTATGAAATACGTAAGATTTGGATATTTTTACATATCATTTTAAATACATGAATTTTATGAAAATGATGTATGATTTTTTAATTAATATATTTATAAGTTATTATTTGTAAATAATACATTTTGTTGTAAATAGTATTGTATTGCCTTTGTTCCTCAAATACTTCATGCTGATTGACATAGCAAACTATATGTCATGTAAAATATATTTTATGGAACTATCCATAAAAAATACTTATAGTGCAGGAAAAAAAATCTTTTTTCTTTCTCATGCTCTCCCCCATTCTCTATTCTACCTTTTTTGTGCCTGATGCCAAAAAACTGAAGCAGGAACACAAATGGTTAGTATTTGGATGACGGCCTCTCGGATACTTCCAATGATTTTGGCTAGAGTAAGAAGTAAAAAAACATTCTTGAAGAATATAAGGGCAAACCCTTCTATACTGTTGTTAACAAAACAACATGGATGTGCCTGTATAATAACTGGGAGTTGAGCTTGACTCAAGGGAGACTACCTTCTCCTCAGAAAGAGACTTGTTTTTATTACTCTCAAAGTACGATGTTATAAATAAATAATAAGCAATGCAAACATGTTCTTGGGTTGTCAGTTATTGTATAATAATTATATCCATATCTCAGATTCAAGATCATAGAATTATCAGGCCAGAATAATCGCACAAGCAACTATACTATGCTATGCTATGCTATGCTATGCTATGCTACGCTACGCTACGCTACGCTATACTACATACTACATATTATATTATGGACTTTAAAGAATGTACTGTTTCAGCTCTAAATCATTCTACACTATTGTGGATAGTAATTACAAAAATGAGTAATAATATAACTTTATAATTATATATAAAGAATCCTCCAGGAATTATTAGATTATATTTTGGAGAGTAGCATTCTTACGCCTATGTGCAAATTCCCATGAGTTTTGAATGACCAAATATGTAATCTTAGGTGCTAAATCATTTTGGTAAACTATTAAAGTTATTGCCTTCCTTCCAACAGACCCTTGAGGAATTAAATTCCTTTTAGATGCATAGCTAAAGATAAACATTGCATACCACCATGCACATTCCTAGTACAAACCATATGGTTGTGCTTCTGCAAGAGATATGGTATGGGAAAGAGCTTCTGTAAGATTCAAGCTGTCACTACATTTGTGTCACATTCACTCCAAAAATGTATGTAGATCATAAGATTGATATTCCTTACAAGTACATGGTTATATAGTTGTAGCAACAAGGCTGTTTCATCAAACAGGTATTCAAATGTTGTGAATTTTCTGTTGTGAAAAACAGAAAATGATGGGAAGAAAATATGTAGTCATCATTATGCTTCACCCTAATGCATTTATGCTTTTAACTAGTATACAGGAACCCTTTCTGCTCGTCTCTTAAAATCATGTAATTTATGTCACAACAGTTTCTGACATAAAATATTGAAACCATGTCCACAATTATAATTAAGAAGAGGAAGATGAGAATCCATATCCATAGTTAGCATCTTAGTAATGGGAATCTAATTCCTGGATCTTTCTGGTTAAATTGCAATATTTTATTTTCTATATCAAAGGTATCTTGCAGATGGTTGACAATCACCACTGTGACAATCAAATACAGAAAGATGACTGTTGAACCTGATCTGCAATTATAACATTACATTTGGCTTTACTCTCTCTCTCACACACAAAACACCCTTTATATTAGAAAGCCATGTCCATATCAGCTAATATAGCTGCTTTAATTTACAGAACAAAGAAAATCTTGAAACAGTCCACAGAGACCCCAGGCAATGTTCAAATCATGAAGGGGGTTGGAAAGGGGAAAAAAACCACTCTTCTTCACCATACTGATACTTAGGCTTTTTTAAAAAAATGCTAATTTGATTTGACAACAGGGAACTGGAATATAGCCTAATTTTATTACAACCCATCACAGACAAACATTGATATTTTTGTCCAGTTAAGTCTGGTTTCCTTCTGGTTTATCAGATTGGATTAATTTGCAAGTTAACCAACTCAAGTAAACAAACAGGATTTGTTTTTGCTGAAATGCTGTACTACAAGTCTAGGATTTACAGCTGTTCATTACTAACTTGCTATGTGAAGCAGTTAAAAGATAAGATACGAACTGTTCCCAAGCTCACAATGTTGCAACCTCTTGATAACGCTGCTTGACTATTGCCAAAAACATAGAATAGAAGACCAGATGTACATCCTTGTCAAGAAAATATGTAGCTATTATTTTCCACCCTCTTTTAATAATTCATGCTATTGTAGACCACTATTTATTAACCTTGGCAACTTGCAGATGTGTGGACTTCAACTGCCATGCTGCCTAAGGAAGTCTGGGAATTGAAGTCCCACCTACTTCAAACTCTCAAGGTTGAGAAACACTTCTGTAAACTATAAGTGTTTTTATAAACACTTGCAGCAAAAAAATAATGCCCTTGACTTACTACTGTTTTTCACACTTACAACAGTGGCAGAATCCCCATGATCACGTCATCAAAATTAAAACACTTGGTAAGTGGCATGTATTTATGAGTTGCAGTGTGCTGGGGTCATATGATCACCTTTTGCAACCTTCTGACAAGCAAAGTCAATGAGGAAGTCAGATTCACTTAACAACCGTGTTACCAACATAACTGCAGTGATTCACTTAACAACTATGGCAAGAATGGTTGAAAAATGGGGCAAAACTCACTTAACAACCGTCTTGCTTAGCAATGGAAATGTTGGGCTCAATTGTGGTAGTAAGTTGAGGACTACCTATATACATTCATTCAAAACCTATAAATTCTGTATTAGTACGCATTAGTAACTTAAAAGATGACGTTAACTTTTATTATAAGTACCTTAGAAGCATCAAAGTACCAAACATTTTAAAATTTTATGTACCAAAATAAATGGATGTTTATGTTTTTGTTCTTCATGATTTATTTAGAACTATTTCTTTAATGTTCCTATATTTTGTACAGTTATATTACTCCCTATTTTCCAAATAATTCAAGTGATGTTTTATTCCCATCCTATATTATACCCATGACAATTTTAACAAAGGCAGATTTTCTATTCCTAGCTCAACATTCTGACCTATTTCTAATGGCTTCATGCTTGTAAGATTGGTTTCAATATTTGCTAAAACCTTGGGTTTTTTCTAAACCCTAGAACCACCAACCAGAGCAAAATACAACTAAACAAATCAGGTGAGCAGACATGCATTAAGGATATGATAAAGATATATTATGCAAGGGAACAGGATACATGGTTATAGAAGCAAATTCCCAAGCCCTTTAACACACAATTGCAGCTAGATTTATCACAGCTCAAAATCTATGTTCATTCCACACTTTATTGCACTATATTGGTTTTTCCTGTTGGAAAACAATGTGCAACACTAAGACAAAAATAAATGAGATTGAGATAAGAAACCTCTGACTTACTTATGGTCCACCAAATAAATTGCAAAACTTTAGCCTTAAGTTAAGGCTAAATTGCAAAACTTTAGCCTCAAGTCTTACTCTTATTAGACAAAAGGAAAATATCTCACAAATGTTCCCTGCATATACACGAAGCTAGGGCTACAATTTAGAAACGTTATAATTTAGAAACAAGACAAGAGCTGACCTGCTGGAAAAGATATTTTCCACCACGAAATATATTTTGATCTTTTTTGTTACTCTCCATCTTTTGATTCTTTCCAAGGACAAAAAAAAAAAAAGAAAAAAAAGGTAGTGGTGGAAACCAAGCCTGTAATGGTGTGAACTTTTAAGGCTTTCCCACTGTTAACAATTTAAGGACTGTTTCCCAGCTAACTCATTATAAAAACAATTATTTTTTAGGTATATGGGGAGAGGGTTTTTTTTAACAGAAATTAATTTAGTAAACTACACCTATTAGTTGAGCATCTGAGTGAATCCAGCACCCGGCAGGAGAAAAGTGAAATCAGACACACCTGTTGCTAGGACTTTCCAGCTCCTGCTAATCCCACCGAGCCCATTCTTTGTTTCCAAACTATTATAGCATCTTTCAGTCAGGTTAAACTATTGGAAAATTGAGGTGGATCGGCGGGCGGGGAGACAATCAGGGAGGATATCGGTTACTGCACTGGCAAGAACTTCTGAAAGCGGAAGAAGCCGCCCGTCCTTAACTTGAACAGCGATGAAACTACGGCGAAATTCGCCACGGCTTGAATGAAGGGTGGGAAGGAAGGAAACATGACTCGCTGTTTCGGACCGCTGAGAGAAAGCCAGGTATCCTCGGAGGAGGGTAAAAAGAGAAAAAATAACGCCCGGAAGACGCGCCCGGGTTAAGAGCTTAGGGTGGGGAAGCGTCTGCTTACCCGTTGCTCGGGCAGAGGAGCCCTCGCCTGCCCGGTCACTCACCATATCGTAGACGTTGAGGACTACCAGCTGGTTCGCCATCCTTTCTCCTTTCAAACGCGGGTCTCACTCAGGCCGAGGACGGCGGCAACGGCGGCGGCGGCCTCAGGCCGCTCGCGGGCGGATGCCGCCTTTTCGCCCTGCCTCTTGCGGAGGAGGAGTGTGAGGAGGTGGAAGAGGCCGCCAGCCGCATGGAGCCGCCTCAGTGCGGGGAAGGGGAAGCCGGGGCAGCACCCCCAGGAATCGCACTCGCGCCAAGCTAGGCAGCGAGAGAGGGAGAGAGAGAGAGAGAAGCGAGCCCCGAGCTGGGCCCGACCGGCACGACTCCGCCTCTCTCCTCTTGCTTCTGGGACCTGGCTGGTCCGACCCGACCGGCCTGTCTTCAGGCGAGAGATCGCGGCAGTAACCCTTCCTCGAGGATTAGCTGCGTGGTCCCCTTCCACCTCCGTCCCAGTTTTGCAAAGAGAAGCTCTCAAGCCAGCCGCACCTTCCACTTGGGGGCGAATGGACGCCAAACTACAATTCCCAGCATACACTACAGCAGGAACCCCCCAGGCCTCAGTATGGCGCGCACATCGCTCGGTGAAATACGAATTCTACTATTACCCGCATTCCACTTTGTCAGAGGAAAAGGCTTGGAATCTTTTGAGGGTTCGCCTGCAACTTGAACTGCTCTCAATGAAATACAATATAATGCTGTTCTTTAATCCCATATTGCAAAGATATGTAAGGGTCACGATTGATGACTAGCTCAAGATTTCAACCTTACCGCCACTTGTTATGTCGATAACTAGGTAAGGTGAAGTGGTGTTTACTCATGAGATTAGATAACTAGAGTTGCCAGCTCTTGAGAAGCAGAATATTTTGCCAGAGCAGATTTCATATGTTTCATTAGCTGAGTCTTCCAAGGAGCTAATTAGGTACAATGGTTTAGAATTATAAAGGACACTGAGTCCAAAACCCTGAAGTGAATTCACAATACTTGTGCAAAAAGTCCTAAATACCGAAAGCTATTTTTTCTTTCAGCAGTACAATATAAGAGAGAGGAGCCACTGATGCAGTAACTATTATTAATTTCAGGTAAAAAGCCTTTGCCAATCTACAAATCATTCTGAAATCTATTAATACCTATCCAGTAAACAGCTGTCATTCATTCACAGACTCCTCATGCCAGGGGTGAAATTCACTTACCTTCCCTACTGGTTCGCAAATGTGGGCGCACTCACTTTGCTCGCGCGCACCTGCACTGCCAGCACATAGGACAGGGCAGCAGCACATTGGGGAAGCGGAGTGGAGGCGGAGATCGGTAATTTTCGCTGCAAGAAGCCTGCAGCCACGTCAGCTGCAAGCATCTCGCAACAAGGGGCGAGATGCGGGCTGGCAGGGAGCCCAGCGGCAACAACGGCTCAATCCTGTCTTGCCTTTCCTGGTAGCCAGCTAGGGGAGGAAGGTAAGGTCACGGCCACAGGATGATAAAAGAAGCGGTTGTGGGGGAGGGAGCGGGGAGATTAAAGACCAGGGCCTCTGAAGGAGGGGAAACGGGGTGATGTGTGTGATTGGTGAAGAGAGAGTGGGTGGCATGCAGGATTAGGCCAGGCCTTTGACAGATTAGGCCAGGCCTGGGCAGAAAATAGGTAGGTAGGTAGAAATTCAATTTTTCCCCCTACTGGGTTCTGTGGGCATGGCTTGGGGGTGTCATGTGACTGAGTAGGCCTGGATGATGGCAAGTTGGACACACCCACTCAGTCACATGACCCCCCAAGCCACGCCCACAAAACCAGTAAGAAAAAAAATTGAATACCACCACTGCTTTACGGCCCTCTCTAAGTGGGTTTACAGAGTCAGCATATTGCCCCCAACAATTTGGGTCCTCATTTTACCACCTCGGAAGGATGGAAGGCTGAGTCAACCTTGAGCCTGGTGAGATTTTAACTTCCCAGTTTGAGGCAACTGGCAGTCAGCAGAAGTAGCTTGCAGTACTGCATTCTAACCACTGCGCTACCGTGGCTAATAATGTGCTCTGCAGGTTGTACAGTTCTCTTTGGTACAAAATGTAGAATTTCCCTTTAGTATTTGTAGATTGAGACCAGGTCATATAATAAGCTATGCTCTCTATAGTATAATAGTTAAAATGTTGAGAGAGGCACAAAGGGACCTATGTCCACCATCAATTTTGAAAACTCCTAAAATGCCACTAAGCCAGTCATTCTCTCCCAGCCCATTCTCTCCTAGCTCAACCTATGTCAACCTACATCACAAGCTTGTTATGGGGACTAGAAGGAGGCAATACTATTCTGTGTTATCTTAAACTCCTGAAAAACGGTATATATGTCTCAAATAAGTAAATGCCCATTGGCACATTGATTTATAATTAAAATATCTAGGATTGCCCAATTGTCAATTCTCTATGGTTTACAGAGATTAACAACTAAAAAATAATGCATTTTTCAGGAGGGTGAATTTAGCACTTATACCATGTTCACCATCTCTAGGGGGTATAAACCCCATCCTAGGCCAGGGTTTCGGCAAAGAGCCAGGTCTTCTAGAATCTTTTGAAGAACAGATCTGGTGTATATACAGAGGTGGGCTGCTGCCGGTTTGGACTGGTTCAGGCGAACCAGTAGTTGCAACCAACGGGTGGGCTTGCGTGCGCTCACATTTTCGGTGCTGGGAGAAACAGTTGTTACAACTGGCAGCAGCCCACCACTGTGTGTATAATATTCTAAATACATATGCTTCTTTTAACTTAGCACAGTGATAACTATACAGACATGTTCATGGCATTTCCTTGGTAGCAGGGAAATAGTTTTCATTGCCTTTGTAGGGAAACTTTTTGAACTTCCCAATCTACCATATATCTCTGGGTTTTCCTGACCTCCCATTCAAATAGCATACATTTTGGCTTAGATATATTACACAGATAGTAAAATATTTCAGTAAAGCAATAAATGCTATGGACTTATATTTTATTTAAAACGCTGAAAACATTCAATCACTTAGTCAACTGAATTTATTTTGACCTTTTTATTAATACTTACATATTGTAAGTGGCAGACAATTTGACATATATTAAAATGAGGTTAAATATTCCTTATTACATTAAATTGGACTACTCTTCTTTTAAATTGACTTAGAGCAGTTCCTTTTGGCAACAAGGTGCATCGATGTTTCCACCTAATGACAATTATTTACTGCATATAGTAATGTAACCTTTCCATTTATACTAGTAATCTTCTATGGTCGTACTTCTGTTTAAGAATGGGAAGTTATATTAACAAAAGATAGAAAAACAAACTATGGTTGCCTTGTCCAAACTAAGTATTCTCCAAATGCATAGCTGACAATCTGGAAGTTTAAATTTAAATTTTTGAAAGGTGCTGTGCATGGTAAAAGATGATCTATGGCAGGCAAAATATCTCAAAGTTTAAAATCCACAATAATAATAATAAAAGGTATTTTTAAGATTGTATTAACTCCTGGAGAAGTAAAAAGTTGAATAACATTTTTCTTATAAATTAAACATAGAAATTCACTGAAAATATTACTTCATCCAATGTGATAAATCAATTTTTCTTCTGCTGATCATTTGCTTTTTCTGCAGTGACAGCTGGCCTAAGTGACATCAGGGGATCAACAAAAGGGAATGCCCGGAATATTTTCACATATCTGAAGTAGCTGAAGATGAGGACTCCCCAAAATAATGTCATTAGCAAGATGTTCCAACCGGCAACATGAATCCAATTTGGTCTGAAAAACAATATAATTTGTACTTTTAAAAAACTAATTAAGTGTAACAAAACTAGCATATAAAGCACATAGTTTATTTATTAATATAATCAGAGCAATTAAAATATTAAAGGAGATAGTAATTTTTTCTGAACATTCTTAAAAGTTATTTCAGTAATGCAACTTAAAAGGTGAAACTAATATATGAGATAGACTCATTACATGCAAAGCAAGATAGTTCAAGCCTTGATTTGTCATAATTTTGATGATTATGGCTTACAGCTCATGAAAACTCCAAATTCACAATCTCAGAAAATTAGAATATTGTGAAAAGGTTCAATATTCTAGGCTCAAAGTGTCCCACACTAATCAGCTAATTAAGCCATAACACCTGCAAAGGGTTCCTGAGCTTTTAAATGGTCTCTCAGTCTGGTTCACAATCATGGGAAAGACTGCTGACCTGACAGCTGTGCAGAAAACCATCATTGACACCCTCCATAAGTCTATCTCATATATTAGTTTCACCTTTTAAGTTGCATTACTGAAATAAATGAACTTTTGCATGATATTCTAATTTTTCGAGTTTCACCTGTATTTCCAGGCTATAATGTCAAGATAACAAAGGCCAGATTTGTGGTTTACAGACATTGCAGAATTTCACTTATCGTTTCCAGTTTATACCATCCCAGCATAATTCCATGTCCCTTTTAAAAGCTCTGGATTACAATCCTTTCTAGAAATATTCAGATCTAAAACACCTTCTCACCACCCCAAAGGGCGCAGCATAAACCCTGCATATTCCCTACTGTTAACTCTGCCATCATACTATACCAGATCAGGAGATACTACTATAGGATTGAACAGAATTAAGTATAACATTAAACATTCCTTGACTTATCGATCTTTCAGTATTAAATAGGCAACCATCTTCCTGCACTGCCTCCTGAATTCTGCAAAAAGCAAAAAGCTGTTCTCTGCATAAAATAATAAATGGTCATTAACCTGACATCTGAAAGGCCAGTGTTAAGAAATCAATGAGAACAGTTCAGCCTTTTCAGCCATTTTGTGCCTGTCTTCAAAATAAGACTTCAAAAGGAAAATGAATTATAATTTATAAGGAAGTTTTATATATTTTTTTATTATACCAGAGACCAGAACAAATAAAAGCACTCAGTATATATATATACTTAAAAATTCCAAATGCAAAACTGAGGAGAGGAGTTTCAGTTTTACTTTCACAGCAGCAACCAGGGGATAGGATACGGGATGCTTCTGTGAGACAAGCCTGAGGGAGAGAAGGGGGATAGAATAGGATAGGATTCTGTGGGGCAAGTCTGAGGGAGAGAAGGGGGATAGAATAGGATAGGATTCTGTGGGGCAAGGCTGAGGGAGAGAAGGGGATAGGATAGGGAAGGCTTCTGTGAGGCAAGGCTGAGCGAGAGGAGAAGCCGATCGTAACTACTCATTAATTTTGAAGCTATAAGTGTCGATTTATCAAGCCCCATCACATAGTTTCGTAGCAAAGCACGGGTATCCAGCTAGTGTATAATAAAACCCAGTGTCAATTATACATGGTCTGACTATATGATAGTTGCAATCCCAAAACTGTGTGGCCCGTTTAGGTTCAACACTAAAAGGGAAATGACTAAGCAGCGCAAAGGGTTTGTCACAATTGTCATATAACATTGCTATGGTGAGAAGACACGTGTTTGCAATGAATCCCCATTGCTGCTGTGCAGAATCTAGCCACCTGCACTGTAGTAATTGACTGTTCATCCTTAAGCAGCCACTGAAGGTAGGTAGTGTCGGAACGGCCAGGATACCTAGCAGTTATTGGCAGAATATGCTTTTTCCTAATCTCCGTATAAAAGGAACATCTAAGGAGCATGTGACCCACAGTCTCCACTTCTCCTGAGCCGCAGGGACAGAGTCTTTCCATGAATGGTATCCTTTTATATTTGCCATACAGGACCGCATATCAGGAAGTTCAATTTTATCTCTTGGAGCTTAAATTTGGATTTTAAAAAAACCTTTAAACATGTACTATGCTTAAATATTACATATATTGAATGACCAAAGCAAGTTGTTTCTGTTATCAAAGTGGCAGGGAATGGTCAGAACACCACTGCTCATTTTTCTTACACTTAAGTTTAATATAGTTGTGATAGCCTATGTTCTAGCAGTTTATTTCTATCTGATCTTGTTTCCAATTTTTCTCTCATTTAACTGAAAACTGAAGAATGAAATTTATTCCTAGGACCTGTAATATGGTATAATTCTTCCGTCGCGAGCTGAAGACGTGGCTCTTCCGCCAATTACACTGATCTGTTTGGGGATACACTGGTATAATTTTAAATCGTTTTTTAATTGGGTTACTGATTTTAATTTGGTATTGTATTGTGATTTGTATTGAAGTTGTCATTTTGTAAGCCGCCTTGAGTCCCTAGGGAGAAAGGCGGCATATAAATCGCAATAAATAAATAAATAAATAAATAAATAAATAAATAAATAAGGTATGAGCCATGGTAGCGCAGTGGTTAGAGTGCAGTACTGCAGGCTACTTCCGCTGACTGCCAGCTGCCTGCAGTTTGGCAATTCAAATCTCACCAGGCTCAAGCCTTCCATCCTTCCGAGGTCGGTAAAATGAGGACCAAGATTGTTGGGGGCAATATGCTGACTCTGTAAAACCGCCTAGAAAGGACTGTAAAGCACTGTAAAGCAGTATATAAGTCTAAATGCTATTGCTATAAAAGGAGAAAGCTAAAAGTCATTATCTGAAATACATTTTTCCACCACACCTGTTAGAAAAAGTATATACTGGTATCATAGATGTGTTTATTATGTATTGAATCATTAGATACTAACTCAGCTGTCCTATCCTGTGTATTATATAATTTTTCAACCTACAGCATATCGAAGTGAATTAAACTTACAAAACTTAACATAATACTAGTGATTTATGTTTGTAAAATGGTGATAGTTACAATCTGAAGGTATCGTTCTTAGGAACTATGTAAGCTTTTACAAGACACCTAGGAAGACGTATTCATTAGTCAATGTATCAAAAAGGTTATTTAAGTTGTTTTATGCTTACATACAAAGAAGTCTTATTTCCTCTCACGTTTTCCACTGAGGCCTCTATAAGCATGCATGTTGAAATTGTGGAGGTAGGTTCTACCCCAAAAGTTCCAGCTCTTGAATGTACAGAAAATTTATTGCAGGATCACAGTTTCCCTCTATCTGTGCCGGTTCAGTGACAAGAGACCAAAGCTATTTCATTTTCTACCCCCTCCCCCACAAAGATATGCATTTCATTGGTAATAAAATTAGCTAAAGCCCATTGGCAATTACCTTTCAATGATACCATAGGTCTGGACAGCAAAATATGTAGACAAATTACAAAAACTGAAACACAGAAAATAAATGTATTAATATTTTGATAATGTCCTTGTGTTAAGTTATAGTAAAAATTAAAATAAATGGAACTGTAACATTTCTAAACAATATATAACCCAGATGATAGACGGCGTTAAAATAAGGTTCTATAAAATTAACATAAGTAAGGAATTAATTCTTGTCAGTTCTCATAGAGATTCACCTTGTATCTTATTTATTTGCTAACTCCTGCACTTCCTAAATTATGGACCAATTTTCAGTTCAAATTATATATCTAAATAGATAGTCTCCGACTTACAACAGTTTAGGGACTGTTTAAAGTTACAAAGGTTCTGAAAAAAGCACTGACCATTTTTCACACTTACGTCTGTTGCAGCATCCCCATGGACACCTGATCAAAATTCAGACGCTTGGCAACTGATTCACATTTACGATGATTGCAGTGTCCTGGGATCATGTATGATCACCTTTTGCGACTTTCTGACAAGCAAAGTCAATGGGGAAGCCAGATTCACTTAACAACTATTACTAACTTAACAACTTCAGTGACTTACTTAACAACTGTGGTAAGAAAGGTTGTAAAATAAAGCACAATTCACTTAACGTCTCATTCAACAACAGAAATTTTGGGCTCAATTGTGATTGTAAGTCAAGGACTATCTGTACACAAATATGTAGCTATTTCAGAACTAGTGTTCATGCAGTAATTTGCAATGTTTTCTCTGCAAATTAATGCAGAAATTGGATAGAGCGGCCATAATTAAATGCTGACTTAAAAATGAATTTAAATATTTCCCCATATAGGCTGGGTAATTCTGGTAGTTGAAGCCCATATATCCTAAAGTTCAGAAGGTTGAGAAACACTGATCTAGACACTTCCCATGCACAACCAAGTATGGTTGGACCATAAAATATAGTTAAAACATTGTTAAGTCTTGTAGAATAAAATAAATTGTATGCAAAATATAAGAACAGTTATCATAATATACCAGGAAGATTTATGTTTAAAATGCAGAAAAAATAGAGGGCAGACAAAAAAGCTCTAAATATGGATGATTATTAATATACTATTCACTAGTATATATTAATAATGTTGAATGTTGCCCAAGTTTGATAATGGTCTGGAGATGGGAAAACAAGCTGAAATCAAATTCAGGCAAGATAAAAGTACAATTGAAAAATAGGAACTAAATTGCAGGTTCAGTTAAAAGACATATCAAAATTCAGGAGTATTTTAACAAACTTAAATAATGAGTAGAAACCAACAAGTTGAATATTAACTAAATAGCCTGGGTAGGGAAAATCAAAGGTATGACTATAGAACAAGGAAGGTCATAGTGGGAAGCAGTGCATACAAATATAAGAGTGTCTTGCACGCAGTATGAAAATTCTCATCTAGAAATTCAGTGAATACCTTTGCAGTATCTGATATAAATGTGAATAACACAAAATAATGTGTTTTGTTCAACAAGCTGTGTTCAAATCTCAGCAACATGTTTTAGCAAAGATACAGGCAGAGCAAAGCAAGCAAGATGCTGAAGGAACAGGAAGGAATAACCCACAAGAAAAAATTGGAGACGTTGGGTATGTTGGAGAAGACAAGATAACAAAGAGACACTGTTGCTTTCTCCAAATACCCAAATAGCTGTTATGTAGAATGGAGTTTTTCCAACAGTGTTCTGTGAGAATGTAAGTGGATTTTGCAGGATTAAGACTAGGAGAAGAAATTGAGGAATAGAGATTTTTTTTCTTTAATTCTGTAAATGACAGAGGATTTTTCTCCCTTAATCTATTGTAAGGTATTTTTCTTTGACTTTAGTGACTACAGGGGAAAAAATCACACCTCTTCACAGGAAAAAGGTGAAAATAAGGAAAAAATAAATCGCTTAAAGGTTGCCTTGCAAAGAATTTTTCCTTAGTCCCTTACGGGACAGACTTCCCATCCCCTTACTCACTAGGACCGTAATGGCAAACCTATGGCATGCGTGCCTGAGGTGGCACACATAGCCATCTTTCTGGGCATGCCATGGGCATGCCATGTCACCCAACTCACCTGCAGCTGTGCATGTACATGCCCCCAGCTGGTGTTCAGGCCTCCGGTGCACATGCGCACAATTCAGGGGACCCAGCTGGTTTTCATAGCTCTCTTGCGCATAAGCGTGCATTTGCACATCCGTGCAAGAGTATTTGCGCACAACTTGCACATGCATAGATGGCATTCACAGATGGTGCGATTGTGCATGCAGCACATGGGGGAGCTGCACGAAAGCCGCATGCATGTGCAAATGGTGTGGTTGCGCACACAGCGCATGGGGAGGAGCCGCACATTAGCATGGGAAGGATGCACGTGGGCGAAGCGAATACCTGTTTGGCACTTGGTGAGTAAAAGGTTCGCCACTACTGCACTAGGCTATAGAGGAAAGACTGGTGATATAGGTTTGAATTATAGATTTAAACCTCCATTCATTATAACTACCCATCTTCTGGTCTTTCAGTGTTAGATTTAAGTGAAATTGTAGTGTTTGTTGGGAAGAGGGGAACAGGTCACCATTTGAATAAATATGGAGTTATAGATATATAGATTAGATATACAGTACTATAGCGATATACATAAAATATTGGTATACTCCAGACTATTGGAGTATACTAGTTAGTATACTGGAGTATATTATGTTCATTCCAGTACTGTGCTGAGGTTAACATGCATGTGGAAATTATAATTCATAGATAATCTTTTTCTTTAAATTATTATTTTTTCATTATAATTACTGAATGTTATTTCAGAATAATTACTTCTAGAGTTTCTGTAAATATTTTTAAATGTTGGAAAGTAAACAAATCCCCAGATCTGAAGAAAATAAGCATGAGGTTAAAATGATAGTAAGAGGCACATGCTGGTTAATAAACATGTAACTGGTTAATGTAAGTGTTAATGGTACAGTACATTAATGTTCAGACTATTGGAAATAAAGATGATCTTGACAGAAAGGTAAATATGATTCCATAAACATAATAGAGACCTGGTTGGCCAACTTCTTATGACTAGAATATATCAGTTGAATGATGCCACTTATTTTTTTTTTAATAGAAGCAATAGAGAGTTCCCTGTATATTAAAAATCCATTGCTGATCAGACATTCAAATAAATGAGCTTGGCAATGTTAGATCATCTGAATTGGAGTTAATGGGAAAACAAATGAAAGCAATGTTGTTGTGGCTGTCTGCTATTGTTCTCCCTGGAATGGAGAAGATTTGAATGAAACAATTTTGAATTGTTTCAAAAACAATTGGTAAATGCTTAAAAAAAACATTAAGTTACAGTGATGGGAGATTGAATTACCCCAGCACCTATTGGGAGACAAACTCTGCCAAACATGATCTTTTCTGAAACTTCCTGTTTTTGCTGACACTCTTTCTGTTCAGAGAGTAGCAGAGAAAAACAAAAAAGGATAATCTATCTTTGATGTATATTAATCAACAAAGAACACCTAGTGAGAAAGTGGCAGAGATGCCCATAGGATTGAGGATTGTCATAAAAATTACAAAAGCATTGTTGTGCCACAAGCTCCATCCTTTGGTTCCTGTTGATGATGTCATGACACACCTGCAAAAGGGATAGAGCTTGTGTCACAGTGGCTTTGTGCTATTTTCATTGTTATTCCACTAATTGCTGTTCTCTAGCACACTCGGATGCTGCAGTTCTTGATTTTAGAGAAATTAAAACTGAACATCATGCAACACACATTGGGCTTCAAAAACTGAATTTTTATATATTCAGAGTAACAGTAAATAGAATCCCAAGTCAAGAGACACAAAAACATTTAACGGAAGATCTGATAGCAAAAAAATAGAAGTGTGCCAGGTCGCAAAGGAAGAGATATGGATAGGCAGCCTGGTCTTGCATAATTAGTGTCAGAAAAGTGACATCTCAAATGTCCCGATTCTAAGAATTACAGTGGATTTCTGTAAATATGTTCAAAATGAACAAAAAAGAACAAAATAAGTATAAGTATAATAAGTATCTCTGTGAAAAAAATAAAATGCTAACCGGTATTAAAAATGTTTAAGCTTTCTAAAACAAAAAATGGTTATATTCCAAAAGTCATAAAGAGCAGGATGAAAAGTAGGAATAAAGCTTGATAGATAAATAGAGAATAGTTTTGTACCGTGAATGAGTTTAAATTCCAGGGACTAGATGAAGACAGTTTAGGTACAGTTTGAGAAAAGGTGGAAAAAGTATAAGGAAAGCAAATTTTATCACCATTTGATGACAACTTGTAGATACTCTATAAAAAGTGAATTAATAAAATTAAGTAATTTCACATTAAACATTGTGAAAGAATTCTGTGTAATATGCATAATAACATTCATTTGAGGTTACAAATAATGAATATCAGAGTCAAATCAAATTTGAAAAGTTAACCTGAAATTTGGATCCAGTATTATCAGCTTGAACATATAAGTACTGCCATACTGAGGCCAATTTAAAAAGTTCAAACCAGAACTATTTAAGATCTCATATTTTTTATCCAGTTTCCTTAATTGTTCTGATCTTTTTTTAAAACAGGACTTGTAATTCTGAAAAGAAAAATGGATGTGTTCATTTATTTAATAACATAACTTTAGATTATGAAATATAAGTATTTAGGTTATGTCCATTCTACTTTATGATACAAATAAACATACAGAAAATAAATACATCTTCAGAATTACTTATTTTAATTATAAAGGCCTTAAGAGACTCCACAACTCTTCTCCATAATCTTCCTGAATGCAATGGCTACATGCAACAATACAGGGAAAATCTGGAACCCATCTAGATCCATGATGTCTCTATGGTGACTATCCTACATCATTGAGCTAGAGGGCAATAACCCTAATCTGAATAAGGAAGTGATTTGACTATGGCAAAGTATGCACTGTCATGTTCTCCATATCCAGATCACCCACCAATGGCTCCAAAACAAAGATAATTCCAATGTATCTTTACCTAAATAAGACTAGTAACCAGGTCTATCAGCACAGGAAGTAGTCCTGCCAGGAAGAAGAGCAGATGATTCTTAAGCAGGATCCCCATCCTGTCTGTACAACCTAGTTTAACATTTAGACATTAACATCTGGTCAGCTCCAAAATAAGACTCCTGGACACAAGTAACCTGTCTCAGAAAATTATTGTCATCCCCTTCTTTTTCTTTAATACTGAGGCTGATGCTATGTCCTTGCCCAACCTTTCCCACCATATCTTTTCTTTCTATGATAGTCATAATTTGCATCTCCACCCACTGAACTTAAAGAGGCAACAACTGGTATCTAACTATCAATCACAAGAGTTTCCTGCAGTCATGACTTCCCTATAACATCACTCCTATCATAACCACAATCAACATTTACAAGAAGACCCACACCTCGCCTAAGGAAGCCAACACCTGACAAGCCACTTTAACTGACCTATTAAAATTTCTGAAAAACAATGGTCCAAGCATTGTAAACCAACTAGGTATATCAAATCTACATTCCTTCTCTACAATAGGAATAGTAAACCAACTAGAAAATCACTTCTGCATTCCTACTCTATGATATATTGTCAGAGCCAATATATTTACTCATCTCTCCCATACTTCCATATTCTCATATCAGGGGGGGTTCCCCTTCACTTTTGCCTCTCACTCAGGAGTATAATCACTGCAATTTTCCGGATTGCTCCAAAAGCATAAAACAGACAGATTAACAACAAAATCTCTTCCAATATGTTTGCACTCTACGTTACATCACTTGGCTGTTATCTAGAAAAACACTTATAGTAACAAAAACAATTCAGAAATCAATAACAAAGTTAGAAGTAACCTATAACAGTTGGATGCTTGTTTTATTTTAAATAAAGATTAATAACTAAATAGTATTATATATATATATTTAAAGACTGATTTTACTTATATTTTTATATGTTGCTGCTTACATGAGGTCCCCATATTTCATCTACATCTTCAATTGTTTTGATTGATTTATTATATAATTTAATCATCTCATTCCAAGTCTGTGCAGTATTTAAGCAACGGACCTGTTAAAAACATAAGCACCCAAAACTCAGCCAAGAAAAGAATTCTAAGAATAGATAAACTCTATGAAGTTTTGGGTAACCACATATGTTTAGAATATTACTCTATTCTCTAAGGATTATTTGAATTTTTGTTTCAGGTAGTCCTCACTTAACCATTTGTTCAACAACTATATTAATAATACAATATTATTATTGTATAATAGTTAACAGAAAAAAGTAAACATATAAAAATAATAAAAATTGTGAATAAAAGAATGACAAGTTTGAAATTCAAAAAGAGATTAAACTATAGGAAATATATTTTCTTACATAAAATATAAGAAAAATCTTAATGTCTGTGATAACCACAATGGTGTGATCACTGACCTTGAGCCAGACCTCTTGGAGTGCAAAGTCAAGTGGGACTCTTACCATGTTTTCCCCAAAATATGACCCTAGCCCAATTTTCACGCTTGTGCCTAATATAAGCCCTACTCCCAAAATAAGCCCTAGTTAAGCCTCGCCCACCATCTGGTTGTTCAAAGTGAGATGAGGCGCAGGCATAAAAATCAAGTTAGGGCAGGGGTGGGGGGGTGGAGCTGTCCTACATGCCTCGCATCACTTACCTAAGGACCATTGTAGCCAGGCACTTCACGCCCTGACACCTATCGCGCTGCTTCCCAACTTTTTCTGCAGCCACTTGTGGCCTCTCATGGTTGGATGCCACCTGGCACAGTGCGCTGGTGCCACCACTTGCAGCAGGATGCCATGTGCCTTGTTGCGCCGTGCTGCCGCTCATGCACGCAATGGCACAACACACCACGCAGCCTCCTGCCTTGAGCGGTGGCACTGGTGCAACCAGCCTTGTGGTGTCCTGCCACAAGCGGTGCCACTGGCACAACAAGCCATGTGGCGTCCTGCCACAAATGACTAAAAGCACCTGCAGAAGTCGGACAGTGGCAGAACAGTTGTCGGGGCATGAGAGGCATGGCTGCGGTGATCCTAAGATAAGTGGATAAGACATCCCCCGAAAATAAGACCTGATGCTTATTTGGGGGCCAAAAAAAAAAAAATCAGACTGGGTCTTATTTTCAGGGAAACACAGGTAGAAAGCATTACCGACAACAGAGTTAACAGAGGTGACAATATTCCAGTTGAATTATTTAAAAACTTAAAAGAGGATGCTGCAAAATGCACTCAATATGCCACTAAATTTGGAAAACTCAACAATGTGTACAGGATTGAAAAAGGACAGTTTACATTCCAATCTCAAAAAAGAACAATGCCAAAGAATGTTCAAATTACATACAACTGCTCTCATTTCACATGCAAACAAAGTCATGCTCAAAACCTACAACTCAGGCTTCAGCAATATGTGAACCGAGAACTATCAGAAGTACTAGCTGGATTCTGAAGAGGCATAGAAACTAAAGATCAAATTGCTAACATTCACTGGAATATGGAAAAAGCAAGGGAATTGTTATGACCCAGGGGGTCACAGTTAAGCAAGCCTCCAGAGAGTCTTTATTTCTCTTGGGAATGATTAAACAAATGACCCTCCACTGACCAGTAAGGCTCCACCCTCAGCCCCCTAAACAACAATTCATTGATCACCCAGCCAGGCCACTAGGAAAAAGTTCAGGCATATGACAAGGGAAGTTTCGATAGCAAAGTCTTCAAGGCTAGGACAAGGACAGTCCTCAAAGCAAGGCAAAAGGTCTGAGTCACAGACGGGAGTGTAATCGGAAAACAAACACTTGTTTCTGGCAAAAGCCCCTTCTCATTGCATGTCCCTAAATACTATTCCCTGGGGCGCCCTCTTCCCGAGTATGGCTGCCCTGTGCTGATTGCTCCTCCTCTCCATTCTCTGCACCTGGGGATCAGGCAAGGGAAGCAGTTGCTCATCTTCAGAGCTCTGTTGCTCCTCTGCTTTGCTACCTGCCCTTTTCCTCTCCTCCTCTCTTGCTCAGTCATCCTTGCCCTTTCTTCCTCCCTCCCTACTCTTCCAAGGCCCGAGGGACCTGGGACTGCCTCATCCTCCTCCCCAGGTCATTCCTCCTGGGCCATAGGGACTGTACCATCCACCTCCACCAGGCCCAGCGCCATCTCCTCCTCCTCAGACCCATGCTCCAACGGGACCATGACAGGAATTCCACAGAAACATCTACTTCTGCTTTATTGACTTTGATTGATACAGCCTTTGATTGTGTAGATCACAACAAACTGTGGCAAATTCTTAAAGAAATGGGAGTATCAGAAATGGGAGATCAAAAAAGGTTTTTTTCTTTTAAATGCCTCTGACGATCCAAGCTGCCTGATCGTCAGAGGCATTTAAAAGAAAAAAAGTCTCTACCATCAGGCAACTCAGCTGGGATCATCAGAGCCTTTTGAAAGCATTTTTTTACAACCTCTTCGCTGAAGAGGTTGTAGAAAAAATGGTTTTAAAAGAAAAAAAAATGGCTACGCCCACCCAGTCACATTACCCCCCCAAGCCACGCCCACAGAACCGGTAGTAACAAATTTTAGATTTTACCACTGAATTCACCCCATATATTAACTTTAATTCAAGCTTTCTCTTAAATTGGAAATGTTTCATCTGTCTAGGAAGGAGAGAGACTGGCCTTGAAGCTGAATAGTGAATCTCAATGGTCTGCATTGTGACTTAGATCAAGACCACCACCACAAGAAAACCTCCTATAATATCCAGATTTTAATTCTGGCAGAAGACTTCAATGTAAAAATCTATTACATATCGAAATACACAAAATTAATCAGAAAACAATCAACTCTTAGTGATAAACATACAATTGAGAAAGAATAATAGTTGGGAAAATTGATTATAAAAAATTTAAATAACTCAAAAGAATCTAAAACCACTGGTTTATGTTTCTATCTCTAAAAATGATTGTTAATTAAGAAATGAATGGTTTCAATATGTAGAAGAAACAACTCTACTCAACTTTCTTTCCTCAGCATCTTCTCAGCCCTAGGGAAGATAACTGTCTACGAGGAGGCCAGGGTAAGAAACAGACAATAAAGAATAACAGAAATGCCAGTTTATAATTGTAGGGTAGAATAACAGAACCTTGAAAGCCTATCCAAGTTTCTCTTTATCTTATCTTATAATAAAGAACCAAGAGGGGATTATTTTGAATTCTTTTTTACACTTGCTTCAATATCTGGACTGAGTAATGTTTTTTTGCAAGATCCTCCCTGACTTTTCTTTCCCATCTTCCCCAAAGGTATCTCTAAATTCCTTTGCATAGCACAGAAAAAGGCAAAAGCCAGTCCCAGTCTCTACTTTTCCATTCATTGTTTTCTAAACCAGCCAGGTGACTGGAGCTTTAGATATGGAACAAGTGTTAGTATTTTCTCTGCTTTTCTTTCTAAGAACGAAACCTGATCCAAATACCTTATTTCAATTTATCAAACTCTATTATACAAACAGATTCAAAATAATAATAATACATAAAGTACAAAAATCATAAATCAATTTACCTTTTCCATAGTTGCCCTGTAGACAAAGTCAATCCTCCCATTCATCTCCCACAATATATAATTTACCTCAACTGGTATGAGTTGGTCGTCATATCTGTATACAACAGAAGCACAGTACAGTATCTTTTCTAAGAGTGTAAAGCCATAGTAAGGATTCAAGTGTATTTACTGTATCATTTGCTAACTTCTCTCTACCTCCTTTTCAATAAATCTTCCAATTTTGCTAGCATTTGTCCTTTGTCAAATAAAACTGGAAGAGTTTTGCACAGACTAGAGAGAGCCCTCCACCCATTTATTTATTTATTTATTTATTTATTTTTCATATTTGTATACCGCCCTACTCCCGAAGGACTCAGGGCGGTGAACAGCCATAATAAATACAAATACATATAGAAGTTAAAAACTATTAAGAAACAGATTAAGTAATTTAGGCTCAAAGATTAAAAACATCCAAATTTATCTAAAGAGGTTTAAAACCCAATTTAAAAGCCAGTTTAAAAGCCAATTAAAAAGGGAGAGTTAGGCCAGACCAGCTTGTTGGAATAGAAATGTTTTCAGGGCACGGCGGAATATGCGTAAGTCTTGGATGTTTTGTAACTCCGGGGGAAGCCCGTTCCAGATGGTAGGTGCCCCCACAGAAAAGGCTCTCTCCCTGGGGGCCGTCAGTCGACATTGTTTGGCCGACGGCACCCTGAGGAGTCCCTCTCTATGGGAGCGAACTGGTCGGTGAGAGGCTATTGGTGGCAGGAGGCGGTCTCGTAAGTACCCTGGTCCTGAGCCATGGAGCGCTCTAAAGATAGTAACCAAAACCTTGAAGCGCACCCGGAAGACCACTGGGAGCCAGTGCAGCTCGTGCAGGAGGGGGATTACATGAGAGCACCACATTGCTCCCATCACCACCCGCGCGGCCGCATTCGGGTGCTTCTCAAGGGGAGCCCCATGTAGAGAGCATTACAATAATCCAGGCATGAGGTGACAAGGGCGTGAGTGACCGTGCGTAACGAGTCCCGATCCAGAAAGGGATGCAACTGGCGAATCAGGCGAACCTGATAAAAAGTCCTCCTGGCTACGGCCGTCATATGCTCTTCAAAAGACAGCCGTGAGTCCAGGAGGATGCCCAAGTTGCGAACCCCATCTGTGGGGGCCAACGACTCGCCCCCAATAGTCAGAGATGGCGCCAACTGACTATATCGGGACGACGGAAACCACAGCCACTCGGTCTTGGATGGGTTGAGTCTGAGTTTGTTCCTCCCCATCCAGATCCGTATGGCCTCCAGGCACCGGGACATCACCTCGAGGGCATCATTGGGGTGGTCTGGGGTGGAGATGTACAGCTGGGTGTCATCAGCGTACTGATGGTACTTCACCCCAAAACCACGGATGATCTCACCCAGCGGCTTCACATAAATGTTGAATAGAAGGGGCGAGAGGACCGATCCTTGTGGCACCCCACATATAAGGGGCCTCGGGGTCGACCTCTGCCCTCCTGTCAACACAGACTGCGACCGGTCAGAGAGAAAGGAGGAGAACCACTGTAGAACAGTGCCCCCCACCCCCAACCCTTCCAACCGGTGCAGCATGATATCATGATCGATGGTATCAAAAGCCGCTGAGAGGTCTAGTAGGATCAGGACAGAGGAGCAACCCCTGTCCCGAGCCCTCCAGAGATCATCAACCAATGCGACCAATGCTGTCTCTGTGCTGTACCCGGGGCTGAATCCCGACTGGAACGGATCTAGATAATTTTCAGGGACATTTGCAGGATGAGGGTCAAAAAAGTCAAGATAACAGTTGTGACTGTGTGATTGGAATGCTGTTCCTTTGTGCACATATAAAAAGGTGTAGGTCTACAATAGCACAGTTGTGGCCACCATCTTGATTTCTTTTGACACCTTCAATTCTTGTCATGAAGAGTTTGGGAAAGGGTCTATAATACATACTTCCTAATGCATCTTTTTCTCATTCTTCACACTGTTTTAGTTTTACTTACATCTCAACATGAGGAAGAAAGTCCTGAGTATAATGGCTCTGTAATGGGCATCCATATTTTTTTATATCAAATATTACTACCTATGGAAAAGACAGTTTAGTACGGTTAAAAAAACAAAAGAAAAAACAAAACAAATTGCATCAGTTAGTTCACTAAAATAAAATAGGAATTCTTACTTTGTTTCTTTTACGGCTTTTGTCTCTGAGATACCTCCTAATGTGAGAGAAAGAGGTTCTGAACTGTAATTGTAATATTCCAGTATTAAACATCACATTCAATATTATCTATGCCATCTGCACTAGATAAATGATTCAGCCTTTCACCACTTCATAAGGACTATAGGGTCCCTAAGTTTTTGATGGGTGGCCAGTCATAACACAATATACTTCTGATACATACTGTATGAGAATTAATATAGAGGATGGTTATGAAACAACCAATCATAATTACTATTACCAATAATTAAAGATATTTCCAGGATGTGTGCCAGGATGTCTATTATTATTGTAGTCAGTTGCATGCATAGTCAGTCATGTTTAGACTGGATTTGGAATTTTTATCCACCTATTGAGTCTTTCCAAAGGACCTGGTATAGACAGATGTTTGATGGTATTTAAGATATTGTCACAGATTGCAAATTGTTCCTAATAAAGCTTCCTTTTGCAATGGACTGATTGTGATTTTTGTCAATGCTAATGGTATTCCAGTTGGTTTGGCATTTCACTGTCCTATTACTATCTTTATTTTCTTTTGCAACAGTTATTCTATCTAAAGCTTTTAGTTCCATTTGAGTCTGGTCCACTATTCCAACTGTGTTTCTAATGACTAGATTTGCCCAGGTATTAATTGTCTTGATAGTATATTATCAAGTTTTGGACTTTAAGATCTTCCTCATACTTATGTGTTTGCTTCTAATCTTCTTCTTGATTTCAGTGTATTTGATGTTGTCAGTTTGAAGGATGCTCAGGTATTTGTAATAATTGTTTTCATCCAGAGTCTTTATGTTATCTCCATAGAACATCTGGATTTCTTTAGTTTTTACTATTTTTTCCCTGTTGATGGTGAGGGTGGCACATTTGTGCAGTCCACATTCCATTGCAATGTTTTGGCTGTATGTACAGGCGGTACTGAGCAGCAATTTTAAATAATGTTTTTCCATGTTTTAAATGTATGCTCATGTAAATGATGTGGGGTAGTCTGGCAGGTGTTTTTGTTGTATGATAGCCATGGTTTAACTTGATAGAGGAATCTGTGGAACAACAAATGAACACTAATGGTGATAGTGAGTCTTCTTGAAAATATTCTCTCCTGATAGCAATAGCAATAGCACTTACACTTATAAACCACCCCATAGAGGTTTACAGCACTCTCTGGGCAGTTTACAATGTCAGCCTACTGCCTCCAACAATTTGGATCCTCATTTTACTGACCTCAAAAGAATGGAAGCTAAGTCAACTTGATATTAACCTTTTCTAGTCTATTACCATTCACCAGCAACTGTGTCTTTCATTGTATCCTTGATCTTTGCAGAAAGCTTCTGATGTTTGTACTGACTCATATGGCAGAGAGTTGAATGCTTTCTTGTAATTAATCCATGCTACATTCAAGTTGATCTTCCTTCTTTTGTAGTTTTCCAAAATCATCTTGTTGATTAGGAGGTGACCCTCTAATGTTTGGGCAATTTTCTTTCTGCTCTGGTGGAAAGAGTTTGTTTTCAGCTAGATGCCACTGGACTGCTACTATTACCAGTTACAATTTGAAAGCTGTTGATAAGTGGATAATTGCCTGGTGCTGGCCCTTTTCTTCAATCTTTCATTATCAGGTAGGTTTTGCCAGTTATTAACCACTTGTCAATTTTATCTTTTGCAGTTACCTTTTGCTATTAAATTGCTTAGCAATGAGTGGTGTAGACTAGTCAGATGTTTCAACCAAAAACCATGCAATTCATCTTTATCCAATGCTGATCAATTCTTGATCTTCCTTAACCTTTTATCCACCAGTTTTGTTGTTATTACAATTTTTTCAGATGGTTTTTTATTCTTATCCATCTCTTTTATTCAAGTTGCATTCTTGTTGTATGCAACCAGAACTGTGCTGTTTCTTCTTTGTTAGGTGTCGACTAGTTCACTGCAGCCTCTCCTGTGGTGGATTTGTAGAAACATCTCTTATTCAATTGAAATAGCCGATGCTGCCTATAGTGTGCATTTTGAGCTTCATATCTGCTGATCTTCATGCTTATAGTTGCTAATAAAGCTGTTGCTTTATTATTTCTAGGACTTCCTTAATCTTTCTTGTTTCTAGATGGCATTTCTTGATCAGGCATTCTTTGATCTTGTTCTTCAGCTTCTTATTTTTCATCTGCTCTAGATTGCTTGCATCTGATCGCAACTTGCTGATCTTATTTTCCAATCTGAGTTTCCATTTTGATGATGCATTGTCTGTCTTTTTTTTTAAAATAAATTGTTGCTACTTTGTTTGCAGGAAGAGTATAATAAATAAAGAAACTTTTATGGACCATTTCTATAGTCAATACTCAGAATTAGACACAATTTTAACCATTTTAAATGTTTAGCATATATGTAATTCTTATACTTCTTACCAAGGTATAGTGAAGGTAAAATTCTCACACTCTGAAGGTTTCCTATGACAAAATAAAAAAAGGTGTTTATATAATTTAAAAACAAAAAACAGCATTGCCTGAATATGACTTTTAATCTTTTGTTCCCAAATCACATCTTGAGGCTAGTTGGTTAAAAACTATAAAAGTATATTATAGATAAACTTTTGATTATAGATCAAATTCTTTCTAATGATAGCTACTTAGCTAGACAGACAGATGACAGACAGATAGACAGACAGACAGACAAATACAGTGGTGAAATCCAATTTTTTTTTACTACCGGTTGTGTGGGCGTGGCTTGGTGGGTGTGGAGTGGCTTGGTGGGTGTGGTTTGGTGGATGTGGCAAGGGAAAGATACTGCAAAATCTCCATTCCCACCCCACTCCAGGGGAAGAATACTGCAAAATCTCCATTCCCACCCCACACTGGAGCCAGTCAGAGGTGATATTTGCCGGTTCGCCAAACTGCTCAAACTTTCCACTACCGGTTCTCCAGAACCTGCTGGATTTCACCCCTGGAGGGAGGGAGGGAGGGAGGGAGGGAGGGAAGGAGAGAGAGACGGGGGGGAGGGATGATACAAAATTAAAGTACCTAACAAAACATTTTACACAATTCCCTACAAATGTAAACTCTGCTAAAACTCTGTTTACAGTATTTTAAAAGGCTATGAGAAGGGTACCTGGGTAGATTTTCCTTGAAAATATTCTCACTTTTTCTATGTAATTTTTATTAAACAAGTTTTCAACAGAATAAAGTTATACAAATTTTGAATTGAAGGTAAGAAGAATATAGAAAAGTAATAAAAAGTGAACAAGAAATAAATAGAAAAGAACAAAGAATACAATGCACCCCAACTTCTAATAAACAGAAGGCAGTTTATATGCAAAAATGAAATAAAATACAATATAAATTACACAGGTAACCTAGGTGCACTGTTTACTTTAAAATCATGTAAGAATATGATGTTTTACACTTACAGAGGGCAAGCAAGTAGGAGCTCCCCTTACTGATGGAAGAATTCTGAATTTTTAAACTCTGATTTTCACTTTTAACGTGTAACTTTTACAAGAACTTTGTTCTTAATTCTGTTTTTAAACTATGGCTTTAATCAAGTGTTTATATTGTTTTATTATGTTGTTGTAAATAGTTGCTTAGGTGAGATGGATAATATAGAAATTTAATAAATAAAAAATAATAAACAAACAAAAGTTTCTACAGTGTGAGAGACTGCCATCAAGAAGTCACAACTCCAGCCTTCTTCCCTCTTCATTTGGACCTGCTTCCCTTAGGATGAATATATGAACATTGAGACAACGTAATTCTGGTCAAAAGAAATGATCCTACTAGTACCTGGCACTAAGGAATGTAGAGATTTAAAAGTTAAAAAACAAGATCTTGAAATGGGCCCAGAGACCTATTGGTAATCAACGTAGCAATCTAGGCATAGACATCACAATGCTTCAAGCACCTCCTATCAGCAATCAAACCACTACATTTTGAATCAGTTGAGGTTTCAGAGTCTTCTTTTAAGGTAAAAGGTAAAGGTAAAGATTCCCCTCGCACATATGTGCTAGTCGTTCCCGACTCTAGGAGGCGGTGCTCATCTCCGTTTCAAAGCCGAAGAACTACCGCTGTCTGAAGACGTCTCCATGGTCATGGGGCCAGCATGACTAAATGCCAAAGATGCAAGGAACGCTGTTACCTTCCCGCTGTTACTTTTTCTACTTGCATTTTTTTTACGTGCTTTCGAACTGCTAGGTTGGCAGAAGCTGGGACAAATAACGGGAGCTCACCCTGTTACGTGGCACTAGGGATTCGAACCGCTGAACTGCTGACCTTTTGATCGACATTCTCAGCGTCCCTACTTTTAAGGGCACACCAAATAAAGTATATTGTAACAGTTTAGCCATAGGGTGAAGGGATCGCTATTGCAAGGACATTCCAGTCCAAATGCTTGGGAGTATGACTGTCGGTGACTGGGGGAGGATGGCAGAGCCCTTGGCTCTTTCAGGAAGGGGATTGGTGAGAAGAGGAAATGATCATCTTAGGGGATGTAGGCAGGGGTGAAATCTTAAATTTTTTTGCTACCGGTTCTGTGGGCGTGGCTTAATTAGTGGGTGGGCTTGGTGGTAAGGTGACTGGGTAGGCGTGGCCAAATCAATGTCACTTCTTTACCCTTTTTTAACCTACAAAACACAACACAACACAACTGGCTCACCCACAATGTAAAAGCAGCTGTGCTAGACCCAAAATGCCCCCTGCAACTAGCAGGAACCTCACACAGCCACAAAAAGCCCAAAAAACCAACTTTCACACTTTACACACACAAAATTCCACATACAGCTTTGTGAGATTTTGTGTGTTTGTGTAGTTAAGAGTGAAACACTACAGAAACACACTCAATCTCAGAAAGCTGCACAAATATTATTTTATTTTAATTTATTTTTATTTTTATATAAAAGCAGCTAAATTTAAAACTTTCTAAAGTTTAAATGGGTAGATCTAAAAAAAGAACTAAAAAAACCCCAATTAACTATTTTTTTAAAAGCTCCCAAAGGGGGAAAAAACTTACCTAATAGAACAGGGGTCTCCAACCTTGGCAACTTTAAGACTTGTGGACTTCAACTCCCAGAATTCCTCAGCCAGCTTTGCTGGGAGTTGAAGTCCACAAGTCTTAAAGTTGCAGATAGAGCTGCTCACCAATGAGCTTGATTGTAGGCAGGGAGATTCAGTTGCTTGCTAATGCAATGAATTGCAGGTATTACAGCAAGCGAATTAACAGCAGCTAAGGTAAGCAAGCTGGAGGCTGGCGGGGGGAGAGAAAAAAGGAACTTTTTTTCTTTTAAATGGCTCTGGCAATCCAAGCTGAGTTGCCTGATTAGCAGGCAACTCAGCTGGGATCGTCAGACCTTGGATCGTCAGAGCTTGGCTGGTCAGAGCCATTTAAAAGGAAAAAAAGGCTCTGATGATCGCGCGGCTCAGCTGGGCATGGGGGGCGGGGGCAGGGATTTTTGCTACTGGTTCTCCAAACTGCCCGCCGCCATCGCTACCTACTCGCCTGAGCCGGTCCGAACCGGGAGCATTTCACCCCTGGATGTAGGGCAGGACAATGTATCTCAGTGGGGACAGGCATGGGATACAGGAGCCAGATGGCTGGCCATTACAGGGGAAGATGCCCCCGATGTATAATATTGGTGGTGTATTTCGGCCAATATGAACTCATCTTCAGTTCCCGGACAGCATACCCTTGGAGGCCCTGAGGTTCAGCTGTGGCTGCTAAATGCCAGGTTAGTTAATAACAAGGCTACCCTTATTCAAGATCTCATTAAGGAGGAATGAGCTGACCTGATAGCAATATTCCAGTATTTGAGGGGCTGCCACAAAGAAGAGGGAGTCAAATTATTTTTCAAAGCATCAGAGGGAAGGACAAGAAACAATGTTTGGAAACTAATCAAAGAGAGAAGCAACCTGGAATTAAGAAGAAACTTCCTAACAGTGAGGACAATTAACTAGTGGAACAGCGTTCAGAAATCGTGGGTGCTCCATCACTGGAGACTTTTAAGAAGAGACTAGACAGTCACTTATCTGAAATGGTATAGGTTCTCCTGCTTGAGCAGGGGCTGGACTAGAAGACCTCCAAAGTCCCTTCCAGCTCTATTTTATTCATGCAACACCGAGACCTGGCTGAGTCTGGAAGGGTGTGTGTCTCTCTCGGAAATATGTCCAGCCAGATTTTAGATTTGGCATAGCCAAGACCCCAGGGCCGGATAGGAGTGGTTATCAGAAAGTATCTTTTGGCTTTCATGGATCTTGCTCTGCAAGTTTGTGATTGCAAGACCGTTTTTCTGAAGCTGGACTCACAGAATCAGTTGGGATTGTCACTAGTATACCGGCCTCCCTGCCTGAGCTGCTGAGACAATCTCAGGGTTGGCGGTGAAGTTTCCCAGACTCATGGTTCTGGGGACTGCAATCTGCAGTCCCCAGAATGTGGCCTGGATGTGGCCTCAGAAGCAGCCCAGGAATTCATGACCACCTTGACAGCCATGGGCCTATCCCAGATTATTATAGGTCCGACTCAGGACAGTGATTACACACCAGATTTGATTTTCTTGTCTGAGCAATGGCAACGTGACCTGGTGGGGGATTTTAGGTTATCCCCCTTTTCATGGTCCAATCACACCCTGGTGTCCTTAAGACTCTCATATGCTGCCCCCTCCACAGGGAGTGTGGAACCATTTGGTGACTGATGGACCCTGATGGGTTCCATAGGGAACTGGGGGATATCATAGGTGTTGCTACATGGTCCTGCTGAAGCCTTGGTGGTGGCCTGGAATCTAAGGGCAGCTTTGGACAGGATCATTCTTATTGGATCCTGAGAGTGTTGTCCTGGTTCAGGAAGGCTCGGGTGATCATCTGCAGGGCTGTTTGTTTAGCACCTGATGGACAAAGTAACGCCGTTTCATTCCCAATTGGATCCCATGTGTGGAGATAGTCCATGTAAAATGCCTGGAGAGAGGCCATGCTCTATTATCTGGGAACGGTTTAACCCTGTTGGCCTTGATGAAGTGGACAGGGTCCTTGATGCTGTCAGTGCTACCACCTATCAGTTAGATCTTTGTCCCTTCTGGATGGTGAAAGCCTCCAGGATGGTAACTAGCATGTGGGTCCAGGCAGTGATTAATATGTTACTAGAAGAGGAGACATTTCTGGAGACTTTTAAGGAAGTCCTAATTTGACCCCTCTTTTAAAAAAACATCATTGGATCCCACTTGCCTAGACAACTTTCATCCAGTTTCTAACCTCCCCTTTTGGGAGAAGATTGTGGAAAAGGTAGTGGTCTGGCACCTTCAGAGGTCCTGGATGAAACAGATTATCTGACCCTTTTCAATAAGGATTCAGGTCTTATTATGGGAAGGAAATGGCATTGGTCGTGCTTGTTAATGATCTTTGACTAAATTGAAGCAAGAATGGCTTCCTTGTATATTACATGTCACACAAAAAGGAAAACTCAAGAGTTATGAACCATCTCTAAATCATCCTGTACCAATTTTCTCTTAAAGTTTCGCTTGGAATAAATTTTAGTGGTTCTTTTTTCAGAAACCCTTCCATTGTTATAATTTGTTTTTATAAAAGTTTGCATCTACTTTATCATAAGTCATTTACTTGTTTTGCCTGTGTCATATCTTAATAGACATTCATGTATTATGTCCTAATTAATAGTCTTGGTTCTGTATGCTGTACATTTTTCAAATTTTGTCATTTATCTCAAAAAATATTTTTTCTTCAGCTTGCCTTTTATTTTTCTAGAAATATGTAAATACAAATAATCCTTGCTATATTTGTGTGTTTAGTCTATTTCTAGAGTCGGGATGCACATATTTATGCCCATAACAACATTTTTCTTAAAATAATTATCTCCAGAATAAAAGATATTTAGATACAAAGCTAAAGGTAAAATAGAACATAGAACAATAGAGTTGGAAATCCAACCCCCTGCTCAAGGAGACACTATACTATTTCAGACAAAGTTGTGATTTGTCTGGTCTCTTTTTGAAAGCCTCTAGTGATGGAGCACCCGATAAATCTGAAGCAAGCTATTCCATTGATTGATTGTTGTCACCGTTAGGACTTTTCTCCTTAGTTCTAGGTTGCTTCTCTCCTTGGTTAATTTCCATCCATTGCTTCTTGTCTTGCCTTTTGGTGCTTTGGAAAATAGTTTGACCCCCTCATATTTGTAGGAGCTCCTCAAATATTGGAACACTGCTATTATGTCTCTCCCTAGTCCTTCTTTTCATTAGACTACCCAATTTCTGTAATCATTCTTTGCATGTTTTAGCTTCCAGTCTCCTAATCATTCTTATTGCTCTTTGCACTCTTTCCAGAGTTTCAACATCTTTTATATAAAGAGCTTTCTTTACAGAGCCTGAAAATTGTTCTTACAGAAATTGTAAAAATCATGCCTTAGAGATAAATTTTATAAAGGAAATATGTTTATATGAAAAGTTTAAATCTGGAAATATTATGAAATGAAGAATTTATTGGGCACAAATCCATACACGTAAATCAAAACACAGGAATAAAGAATTATGGATTCTATTTTCTTCTTGTAACAGTATAATACACAATCAAAATACAAAAAATTATTTGTATTTGTTACACGCACAGACACTTATACTAAAAAATTATTGTTTTAATATTTAACTTTGTTACAAGGAAATATAAGTAGATAACACAAAAGTAGAAAAAGAAACAACTTACATGTTTACAATTATTTTTTTCCATGGAGGACAGCCAACACGTATGTGAGAAAGCTAAAAAAAAACCAAAAACCACAGTTAAAACATTTACAAAAGCTTTCTCAAAGTTGCCATATGCCCAAATGTTGTCTATTTCCTTTTTAAGTCATGCCATGTCTTGCTTTGATTTTGAAAAGTGTCCAATCTATTCTTTATAACTATGGAGTTTAGTATGTGTAAGCAGTAATTGGAGAGCAAAAGATGGTGTTCAGAGAGAATCTCTCCATATTTTATCCCCACAATATTATGAATTAAGTTGGGTTGGTAAAGAATGACAGCCCAATATTGAGTTTCTTGATCATATGCTAATATAATCAATATTTTAATTATCATATTTCACTGTTTCTCTGTTTTTGTGAGATATGAAGCCACTTGCACATTTCATTATTGTTATGAAATAATGAGGATATAGCTATTAACATTTAGGGCACTATCTGTGTGTGAGATGTGCATGTGCCCGAAGTTTCATTCAGACTACTTTTATAGCTAAGGAAAAGTTTTTGTAAGAGTCTATTCTTCAAACACACCACCAAAGGTACTGATGCCCACCTTCTTGTGCAATCTTTCAAATAATAATAAAAACTAAACATGAAGCAGAAATGCAAGTACTTCAATACCTGTAGAGGAGAAGGAAAATGGAGAGTGTGACTGCACAAGTGGCCATCATAATTTCTACCTGAAACTACTACTAATTTTTATTGCAGATATTAATAATTCTTATTTTAAGGGAAATAAAATATGTAAAACTGAGAAGAATGAAATGTTATCTTCATCATTCTCAATGATCATCACAAATGCAAGTTTATTGTGCCACCCTGCTGAAGTAGGAGCCAGTATTTGTACAAAATAGCCTGGCCACACACAAACCCACAATCTAACTGAAAATAAACATCAACAAGAGGGTATAAAAATCTCCTTGAAATAAATATCTTTGAAGAGATATCTAAAGGTAGAAATAATCAGCTCTTGGATTATTGTTTAACATTGAGGGTATAATGTGATGGCTTCCGATGATCTAGAAATAGCCACAAAGAATGTCTGTTTAGTTGATTATAGTACTGATACATAATGCTTAGAACACTGAGATGGAGAGAAGAACACTTTTTATCTAGATAAGGACTGTTGTCAAGTGAGTGATTGATGGTGGATGCTGACTTTTAAGAGTAGCTCAAGTTTATTGAAGACAAACAAATGAATTGGGAGAACATCAAAAGTTATGTGGACAACAATATTCAGCCTAAAATAGATTTTGATATGAAAAAAGAGAATATGAGTTTTCTAGTGGAGGTTCAATGTTTTCCCACTCTAGTACTGACATATTTGTCAACAGACTGGTCAAATCCAAGCAATAAAATTAGAGATAAGACTTTAATTTTTTTAGGACCTTTTATCTTTTTTTATAAAAAGATAAAAATGTTCTGATACCATATGTTCTCTCAGTAAATTAACAATGATCAAGTATTTGTTGATTTTATTGTGGTAATATAGTCCTTTTGTTTTTCTGATGCTGATTTAACCATTCATTTTGAAATCTAGGACTGGAGGCGCTATTAGGCATTATTTGTTATCAAAGCCATTAGAGCTGTGCAGTGGTTAGAATGCAGTATTACAGGCTAATTCACTGCTCATACTAGCAGTTCGATCCTCACCAGCTCACAGTTGACTCAGCCTTCCATCCTTCCGAGGTCAGTAAAATGAGGACCCAGATTGTTGGGGGCAATATGCTAACATTGTAAACCACTTAAAGAGGGCTGTAAAGGACTATGGAGTGGTATACAAGTCTAAATACTATTGCTTAGCATAGCAGAGTCTTAAAAACATGTCAGTTACTAAAGAACACCTGCACATTCCCCTTTAATTTAAAAGATCAGCCAAGTCTAACTAGTTTAATTAGCTCGTCCTACAGAAAGTGACACTCTGGAGACAGCATGTTGATAGATGACTTTGCATGGAGTTTCCACAACATTACACTACCTGAAGGTCACCTTCCATAAGAAAAAAATTAAGATAAAAGTCACTGTTTCATTAGCTGCATCTGAATAATGCTGTAGTGTTACCCTTGTCAAATAAATAGATTATCCTCAATGGAAAACTATAAACATTTTCTACCACATATATTCTGGAAAATAATAACCCCTGAGAAAAAGATAAAAGACAGCCATCACAAAGCATCATTTTCTACAATAGTAACATTTTTTTGAAAACAAAAACTGTTAACACAAAGTTTTCAAAAACAGAGGGGGGAAAAGAATGAATGGGGAAAAATTATGAGAGTTGTGCACATACTTTATTTTTATTTATTTACCAAAGTCATATGCCATTTATTTCGCTTTCCTTCTAGCTTAAACGTAGGTATCTATTAATTGGAAGCAAGAATGTGAAAGTTCTAATTATTGAACCCATGATGCTTTTTTTCTCTTTTTGAAAACTTTAGCCCAACTGTAAAAGTTTATTAACTGCAACTTTATACATAAAGATAATTATTTATGCAAATTTTTTGCACAAAAATAATAAAAATAATAAATCAGAAAGTCAGTAAAATACTGTAAGTTTTCTTCAGAAAGGAGGAATAGCTACTTAAAGAAACTCAGATCATTTCAGAAGTAGACGATGCATTTCATATTACTGATTAAAGTTTACAGGCTCTAAATGCAACAGATTTCTTTAGTAAATGTCATTATGAAAATTGTACTGACCAATCCCAGGTCTCACTCCAATTATAGTGAAAGATAATAATAAAAATATTTTTCTTTATAAAATGCAGAATCTTTCCTTTTTTATAATCAGTAATCAATAGTATTGAATTCCTCCAGCTGTTTCCTCCTTACGTTACTTGGGATTTTAATTTCAACTGTAATTTATTATTTATTATAATTTATTATTTAGTTAACATACCTTGCTTTTTGTTAAGCATGTTTTTCCAGATTCTGAAGGCTGAAATTCAAATGTCATGACACCCTGAGATAATGCTCTACATGTAGAACAACACATATGAAAAAAAAATCAGATATTATAATTCACTGTATTAGAAGATATATTTAGTACGTGTATGTATAAACAGACACACAATCTACATGTATTTTTCTGCCTTCATATTATTAAACTAACCTATCTACTAATTTATTACGAATTTGACTTTCATTGAAAATTTAAATAAAATTGAAAATGTTCCTTTTCTTCCATATGCTGAGTATTCAACATATGTGTCTATAAAATTATTCTATCTGTATGTGTTTGATAACCAATATGTGAGAGAAAATATTCTGTTGATACATAATACTGATGATTGCAAAACAACCAGGAGAGAAACAGTTCAGTTATTTCTCTGAGCTTTTTATATCATAAAAAATGATATAAATAAATGTCATGGTAAAATAGAGGACTAGAAATCATTAGAAATTTAACCTAATTTCTTACAGATTAAACAGACTATAATGCCTTTCTCTCTGTGTTTTGGTTACTTAGATAAGAATGACTGTACCATACCTAACAGCTACTTGTTGAACATTTATAATTTTAGCTAACTTTCACTTTTCATGTTACTGTTCCCTCCTTTTCCCTCCAGCCAATCAGAATTATTATTCAGAATTATTCAGAAAAGCTTAAGTAACAATGTGCTTGTTAGTCCTTAATATATCATAAAACATTTGTTTTTTTCAGCAAGATTAAACATGACCATTGCCCTAGCTCCTATGTGATGACACTATTTTGAAATAGTGATATTGATTCTAAATATATTTTCTTTAATTTCTACATACTTTTCCTCTCTCTCTCTCTTTCTTTTTAAAAATTATTATTATTATTGTTATTGTTATTATTATCTTATTATATTGTTATAAAACTTGCATATTACATTACAGGTAGTTTTCAAATTAACAATATGGTAGTAATTGGGACCAAAATTTGTGTCACTAAATGATGTAGTCATAAAGCTTGACATCACACAACTGTATCACTTTGTGATGGTAATTCTGGCAATCTCTGTTGCTATAATTAAGTGAATCTCACTGGTCATCAGGTGAGGATACACCCTACCTATGCCAATCCCAGTTTTTTTTACTCCCAGTCCCGGGCTTCAGTAAGGTAAGGAACTGTCTCCTCTGCCTCCTCTTTAATTTCCTCCCCACCGGTTATCTCTCCCACCATATCTGCCCTTCTGGGCACCCTACACAATGGCAGTCCTCAGTGGCGGCAATGCTGGGAGTGAAGTAGAGACCCAGGACCTTCAACAGGCTCAGCCCCACCCTAGTGCATTTGCATTTTCTTTTTCTCTTACTTCCAATAATGCCAAATTGTCCAGTTTATAAATTCTGGGTCTTCTGCTGGGATCCAATATGTGGTTGTTAACTTAAGCACCTAAATTTGATATTTATTTCATTCTTCTTGCTGCCTTAACAAACAAAAAGTAACATAACTAAAATCTATAGAAAATATATATGCAATATTAAGATTGCCATTTTCCTTCCAAATATTCTCTCTAACGTATAAAGCAGTGTTGAACAATAATCACTACAAAGTCAGAAACAATACCTCTATGTAATGAACTACAAATGCATATCTACTTTATGTACATCAGTGTGCAACTCAATGCAAGCTGGAGCCAAAATTAAAATGGGTTCTTAAAGTTTATGATTAGTAACTAATGTGAAATGAGACCTACAAAATTTGGGATTAAAATCGAACAGCTCATGGCAAACCTCTTATTCTTATTTTGTCTGGGAATATCTCTGGTTGAAGATAAGGCTCTGTTTACACTTGGGAATAAAATATATCCATGAGGATGAGGGGGAACATGTCCTGTTGGTGGACTTGGGGAAACATGTTACTCAAAATCTGTATGCTGAAGTGGCTTGAAATATTTGTTAGATTGTTGTACTTCACTTTGTTGTACTTAGAATTCATTTATTTATTTAGCAAATTTACAGTGTATAATTTATTTACTTAGCAAATTGTTTGGCAAAGTTTTTAAAATCTTCTTTCCCTCAAAATAAGACAAGCCAATTTGCTTCTTCATAAAATTATCTTCTCCCATCATTATAAATTTGACAGCCTTTATATCCAGTATCTACCACATGCTCTGGTAGCTGAATATGAGTCATAAAACTCTGAATTCAGAATGAGTTGGCTCATTGAAATCTGTACACGAGTAGTTCCTCTAACTTTTTTGTGATACATAGATCTGTTTCTTGCACAAAAAAGAGAAAAATGTAATATAAAATAAAATACTTAATATGTAGGTATGCAATTTTTGCAGGAAACTGGGACCATCTGCACTTTTTATCAACTACAGAATATTTTAGTATCAGCAATAATCAAAAGTCCATCATGTTTATTAAATCATTAATGGAATTCTCCACAAGCTGCCTGTAAAATTTTTAACTTTCTCACTTTTTTCTGTTCCTCCTTTTGGAATGTCAATATACAGGTAATCCCTGAGTTATGACAGTTCACTTAGTGACAATTTGAAATTACAACATAGCCTCCCCCAAGTATTTACGACCCAGTCCTGAAATTACAAATGTTGCAGCATTTAGGTGGTCGTTGACCCTTAAGAATGGCCACAGAGGCCATTGCAACATTCGTCCTGCCTATTCCTTTCCCTCCTCCCCCTGCCGGACCTCCACAAGCAGGCCTGTGGAGACTCATTTACCTTTTGAAGATCTAGTGAGCTGTCTCCTCTGCAGCCTGTTTCTTTGCCTGCTCCCAGAGAGAGAGCAGAGGAAAAGTGTTTGCATGCCAAAGTCAGGCTTTTGGGCAGTGTACTTGCATCACTTCAAGCCTCTCTTTGGTGTGAAAACACTTTTCCCCCAGAGACTGGAACCTTTTGGATGCCCTGATCTCACAGGATTTCATGCACCCATTCTCTGCAAAAACAGATAGGTGCCTGAATTCGCGCAAGACCATGGACCCCCGACGTTTCCAATCTTCATCTGGGCAAAAAGTGTTTGAGCATCCCTGGGGCGGTTGGAAATGGAGTATGGAGGGAAAGTGTTTGCTTGCCAATGAGAGGCTTGAAGCAATATGAGTTCACTGCCCCAAACCCTCACTTCAGCGTGCAAACACTTTTCTGTGCCAAGCCTGGAAGACTTTGGAGGTGTCTCCACCAAGGCTGCCCTGCGCTCCAGAAGTGGCAGGCAGCCTCGGTGAGTCAGAGAAGCTGAGCAGGGTGCACTCATCCTGCTCTCCCTCTTCTCTTGCTGGGTGATCTGAAGCAGATGGTCTGTTCCATCACTAGGCCCTCCATGGCCTTCCTCACCCTAAGATACCTCCTGTGCACTTAACAACCCATGCATTCGATTAGCAAATGCATGGGCGAAAGAAGGGAGTGATCACAGTCAAGTTACGCAATTTACTCCTAAGAAATCCTCAGATTACGAATGTAATTGGTAGACTCCATTATATTCGTAACTCAAGGACTACCTGATATTTGTTCTATAATCAACAAGAGTAAGCTAAACCCTGGCCTGGATCCTATGAACCTAGAATATAACACTACAATACTGGGATATGTTAAAAACAACCTGCATTGACATCCTTGAATGCAAATAATGCATTAATTCTGAATTATTGTTTTTAGATTAATAAATTTTAACTTACACCTGAGTTCGATAATCAGGCAGTTCGGAATAATCCCTTTCATGATAAAATGTTACAGTCTGTGAGGAACAATGGATAAATGCATCAGTGAATTATAATACCTTCCTCTGAATTTCTAATAAACATATATTAGGAGAAAATTGCATAAAGCATATATGAACTCTTTATTTTATTTATTTATTTATTTACTTATTTAATTTATATGCCACCCATCTCACTTTCCAAAGTAATTCTTTGGATTTTTGTTGGTTTAAGCAAAATATATAATTTGATTAATAAATAAAATATAAAAAACAAGTTAAATGAGCTAGATCAAATATATATGTGCTTCAATTCAGTATGTCTTCTCCAACAGATATAGAATTGTATCTTATCTGAATATTATTTTAAAATTAAATATTGCATTTGAGGCAAGTCATAGCAGAACAGACCTTTCTGATCTTGGTTGATCTTGAAAAGGTTAGGAAAGATTTTTGTGCAAGCAGTGGTGGGTTGCTCCCTATTCTGTCCGGTTCTTGAGAACCAGTAGTAAAAATGGCGGGAGGCTCTGCCCACCCGCCGTGTCATCACATTTGGTGATCTGTGCATGCGCAGAAGCATTGTGAACCAATAGTAAAGGTAAGTAGAACCCACCCCTGTGTGCAAGTGTGCAAGTGGCCTCATGTAACAGGTATTGTCTGAATGCATCACTAAGTACAGGTTTCAAAGGCTGCAGTTGAGTTTTTAATTTTTAAAAGTACATTATTGTCCTTACAGAGTGATCCACAAATATTCTTAAAATATTTTATTGTTTTAATCTGTGGACTATTGACCACAGACTTTTGTGTTGAAGTATGTTTAGTTATAGATGGAAAATATTTTATGGAAAAAGTATACGGTATTTAGTATTTCTGTGATGTTACATACCACATTATTATATGCTGTTTAATAAATGACCTTTACAGCGTTCCTTAATTTGTTTATATTTTTTTCTAAATTCTAATGTCTGGCTCTCTTTTTGGTTTACTGTATTTCTGATTGCATACTGTGATCTGCACAAAATTTTCTAATAAAGATAAACAGAAGAATGGAAGATGGGAATTTCAGAAAAAGATATAGGAAACACATAGGCCCCATTATTCAGTCTGGCTCATATACAGTAAGAACAGGAACAAAAAGTAGAAAATAATGACACTGTGTATAGAAAGCACTCACCTTATTTTTAGTGCAGATTCCACGAGCTATTTCATAATTGATAAAGTCTTTAGTCTTCAACAGTTCTGGCCTGTAAATTTCAACATCTACTGATAAACCCTTATTTTCTAAAAATACTATCTGACCCCAAAATGTCACTTTGTCTCCCATATCTACATAATGAATATTGAGACTCAAATTGTTTTCAAATGATATATATGGGCAAACGTCGTTCAATTTTGATGCAGCACTAAGCACTTCTAATTTCAATGGATATACTTGGCGGGTTATATTTGTGCCATTGATTGTCAGCAAAAACAGATCTCCAGAAGGATTACAATAAAATATAAACTTTTTAAGACTGTTTTCCCAAGCAGTAAGCTTTACAATATCTGTCACTTCAAATTTGAAGAAAAACATAGCATTATTTTCCAGCTTTACTATGGCATTTCCAATGTAATCTGGAAAAGAAAAAGAATACCATATTCAAATTGATTTGATTACCATATTAAGTACATTTCTAGAGAAATAAAATTATTTCATATAAAATATTAATGTCTTAATATTGTAATTTCAAATATATTCAAAATCGAATAAGCATTACTGAATATATGGGAATTTACTGTTCAGTAAACATTCATGATTTTGGTAAACATATAATGTCTTTTAGTCTATCTACAGCTTTTACTCCAAATAAATCTCACTATTCTTACTTATTTCAGTTCCCACTTTCTTTTTTAAAAAAACTCATGGTGACATATTTAATTCTTTTGATAAATCTTGGAGGCATACCAAGTTGACTAAAGTCCCATTGGCCACTTTATACACAATAATTTTCTCAGCTGACGATAGGGTCATTCACATATTTATTTTTAATATAAAGATAATTATTTTATTAGGTGATACTATCAGAATATAGTTCTCACTTGAATGCCAGATAGCCACAAAAAGATTGCTATCTGAAGCCAAACTCATAGTGTCCCTCTACTCTGACCAAAGTCTGATGCCATTCTGGAATAAATTTCTGTCTTTATCCTGTCTCATTTAATTATTCTGCCTACATCACTTTGCTAATTAAAAGACCAGATTTAGCATCCCCAGTGAATTCTAGGAGATTAAAGTCTCACAAAAGATCATGCCCATTCTCCTTCCCTTCTATCACAGTTGCCAAAACATCTGGAATTCTGGAAGCCAAATGTTAAATAGGGCCTTACATTCTTTGTCACCCAGCCAGATTTCAATCCAGTTCTCTTTACTCTTTCAGGAACAAGTCAGGAACAACCAATGGTTCCCTTCTTGGACCACCACCATACAGCTGCAGCAGTCCCTACTCACTCACAATCATCTTCTCATTAGGGCCATACAACTCTCTTATTGACTAAGTACTTCAAACAATCTTTTGTGACAACTGGACTTCACTTTTTACACAACTTAAAATTTTGTTATTAATCATTACATCTCTACAAAGTTTGAGATGTTGCTGTTTGAAGGGTGATCAGTTCCATTTTATATTTCTATTAAAACATAGAATACTTAACCAATAATAACTTGATGAATTACAGATCCTTTAGATACTGCTGAAAATTTGCTTTTTGTATCAGCTTCCTGAAGATAACCAAACTGTTTATGATCTTTGTAAGTATAGAAAATGGTATCATCATCCCACAACACCATGGATGTTAGTGCTGAAAGTATGACTTCCATATGTATGGTACCAACAGTGGGTAAATCTAGGATAAAGTCTTTCAAGATCCATTCAGCTGTATCTTCTTTATAGATAACCAGGTATAATATATTTTTGCTTATACAGCCAGTACATTCTATCAGTATTGCAATTGAAGCAACAAGTGAGTCATAGCAAGCAGATACTATTAATAGACTAACGGTACTTTGTAATTTTAGTTTTTCTCTTAATAGTCGTACATCTATCAATGGATGAAATTCATTCTCAGGATATCCAAGGAAAATTTCTGTTTGTGACCATAAAATTATTTCACTTAATTTTCTCTCCTGAAGGAAAACAAAATTATGAAAATAATGTTCCAAATTCTACAAATAACAATATGAAGATTACAATGTTTATAAAATATTCATTAAAATTAACAGTTAGTATCATGATTAGTATATTTGCAACTTATAAAAGGACAGTCAAAACCAGAGAAAAATAGTTTGTGCTTACTTATAATTGCTATACTTCTAACAGCCATAACGTAATTGTAATTTGACAAACATGGTATAGTATATTGATATTTGGAACTGATAAGACTAGAGTTCAACCTCACTTAACTCAAACATTCATGACAATGAATTGCTATTCTAATAAGAAAAGGTATTTTCCTAATTGAGAAAATGTAGTCACATTATCTTAATTATAACAGATGTTTGTTTAGATTTTTGTTCTATGTATTTTTGGTTCTATATATCTGCATTTTGGTTCTATGTATCTTCTCTTTTATCTTCAATGTGCAGCTCTGTATTGCTATATAGATTAATTATTTCATACTAGAACAGGTACATCAAGCAACAAGAAAAGATTAATAAAAAGAAATCCATGTGTAATAGCATATAAACTCTTACATAAAATGAGAACCACAAATGTCAACCAAACAGACCAAGAGAAGAAAAACAATTTTATATTAGCATAATTGTAATTCTGCTTTTTTAAAAATGTACATTCACAAGTCTGGCCAGCTGCATATTCAGAAGTTAATCAAACTGAGATTTTAGTAGAACGTCATTTTTACAAATATGAATTATTTTGTAACTAATTTTCAATAGCTTCAGTTAATAACTTTTAATATTAGTAAATTTGAATTCCAGCTTCTCATGGAGGAACCATGGCCATCTTATAGTAAATTGTATATATATTGTGCATTGAATACAGGTACTAAAACAGATTCCTTGGCACACACAATCTCAATATTTGTCAAGATTTCAATATATTATTTTATTATTATTCACAGTAGTTATCAGACCACCCAAATCTATGCCATTACACTCTGGGCAGTATACCTACAGTAAGCATTTTCACTAGGGACCAAAAGTAATTCTTAAGTCATACACTAAATAACAATAATTCTCAAGAAGGACTAAATACTGAAATGTCTTACTGTATTCTAGCCATTGACCAAAGCTAGGTTAAGTGTCTAAACAAGTAGAAAACTAAATCTACAATTCCTGATCAGTAAATTATAACTTGCATAATGAAAACATTACAGGTTGCCCTTGCCAGAGAAATCTATTTAATATCCTGTACATTTGTTCCAATTTAGTACATTATGGTGTAATAAATGTAGGAGTGCTGCACATTCAGCCTAATCTCATTTACTCTATTCACTAGAATACATAGTAACTCTCTTGCATTTCTCTTCCATTAAATCTTTTCTGAGGTTCTATACGGGAGTATGCTTGATATGGAGACCTTTCCCTTGAAGACCTGAAAATTAAGATATTCATGTGAGATAAGGCTGAAGGCTGGCATAAGACAGTTGGCCTATATCATAAAGGGTTGATGTAACATTCTTGAAGTTCTTATGTGAAAAGATGCTGGAGGGAATGCAAGAGGCTCAAAGAAGCCAATGCTAGATCCCATGTCAGAAATCAGAGAATTGCCAGACTAGTGTATAAGAGTATGAGAGTATAAGCCTGCTTGGAGCAAATGAGATTGGACTTTGAAAAGATAAAAGACTTGGACTATGGGCATCAAGCCAGACAATATTACTTCACTGCTGTACTCCAGACACCTATCCACTCTTTGAACAATCCAAACTTCTTTGCACCTTCATCTCCTCAATTGCATCACAGCTTGTCAGGGAATTTGTCACTTGTCCAATACAAATGAAATTTTTCTTTCTTTCCTGTCTAACTTCTAATCATGTCACCTGCCTAAAGAAAAAAAAAAAGGGGGGGGAAGAATGAGGGGCGTATAGAAGCAACTCACAACAACAACAAAAAAGAATCATCCATCCATCATCTCTTGCCTGCTTTAATACTTTAACTGCTATGCTTTTTTTTTTTGACTTGCCTCCCAAATTCCTCTCTTAAATCTCCATCTATGTCTATTTTTTGGATGTCCAATCTAGGTGTTCCCCCCACTTCCACCCTCTTCCACTGCCTAGTTCTAAAATTTCTATCCAGGCCACGACCTCCATTTCAAACATATCTTCCAACTCTCTTAATATAACATTTTATAACATTCTTGGGACTTAAATATCTATATTCCTTATATATTTTTCTCTAAATGTCTCTCCCCCTTCATGGATTACTGCCTTGTCGTGATGAAGAGGCTTGTGTAACTCAATGAAGCTATGAGCTATGCCATGAAGGGCCACCCAACACGGACAGGTCATAGCAGAGAGCTCTGACAAAAAATGTGATCCACTGGAGAAGGAAATGGCAACCCACTCCAGTATCTTTACCATGAAAACCCCATGGACAGTACCAAAAGGAAAAAAAGATATGATGCCGGAAGATAAGCCCCTCAGGTCAGAAAGTGTCCAATATGCTACTGGGGAAGAGCAGAGGGCTAGTACTAGTAGCGCTAGAAAGAGTGAAGCGAGTGGGCCAAAGCCAAAAGGACACTCAGCTGTGGATGCATCTGGTGGTGAAAGGAAAGTCCGATGCGGTAAAGATTTTTTCTCCATTGGAACCTGGAATGTAAAATCCATAAATCAAGGCAAGCTGGATGTGGTCAAACAAGAGATGACAAGACTGAGCATCGACATCTTAGGAATCAGTGAATTAAAATGGACAGGAATGGGTAAATTTAATTCAGATGACCATCAGATATACTACTGCTGGCAAGAATCCCTCAGAAGAAATGGAGCAGCTTCATAATCAATAAAAGAATAAGAAAAGCAATACTGGGATACAATCTCCAAAATGACAGAATGATCTCAGTTCAAATCCAAGGCAAACCATTCAATATCACAGTAATCCAAGTCTATGCACCAACCACTGGTGCTGAAGAGGATGAAATTAACCAATTCTATGAAACCCTACAGCACCTTATAGAATTAACACCAAAAAATGATATCCTTATCAGCATGGGGGATTGGAATGCTAAAGCAGGAAGACAAAAGATAACAGGCAAGTTTGGCCTTGGAGTACTAAATGAAGCAGGGCACAGGCTGATAGAATTCTGTTAAGATAATACAATAGTCATAGCAAACACTCTTTTCCAACAACCCAAGAGACGACTCTACACATGGACATCATCAGATGGTCAACACAGAAATCAGATTCACTATGTGCTCTGCAGCCAAAGATGGAGAAGCTATATACAGTCAGTAAAAACAAGACCAGGAGCTGATTGTGGCTCAGATCATGAGCTTCTCGTAGCAAAATTTAGACTTAAATTGAAGAAAGTAGGGAAAAGCACTAGGCTGCTCAGGTATGAACTAAATCATATCCCTGATTAATATACAGTAGAGGTGACAAATAGATTTAAGGAATTAGATCTGATAGACAGAATGCCTGAAGAACTATGGACGGAGGTTCGTAACATTGTACAAGAGGTAGCAACTAAAAACCAACCCAAAGAAATAGAAATGCAAGAAAGCAAAATTATTGTCTGAGGAAGCTTTGCAAATAGATGAGGAAAGAAGGGAAGCGAAAGGCAAGGGAGAAAGAGAAAGATACACCCAATTGAATGTAGAATTCCAGAGAATAGCTAGAAGAGATAAAAATACCTTCTTAAATGAACAGTGCAAAGAAACAGAAGAAAACAATAGAATAGGGAGGACCAGAGATCTCTTCAAGAAACTTGGAGATATGAAGGGAACGTTTCATGCAAAGATGGGCATGATAAAGGACCAAAATGGCAGGGACTTAACAGAAGCAGAAGAGATTAAGAAGAGGTGGCAAAATTACACAGAAAAACTATACAAGAACGAGCTTAATGTCCCTGATAACCATGATGGGGTGGTCACTGACTTCGAGCCAGACATCCTAGAATGTGAAGTCAAATGGGCCTTAGGAAATCTAAGCAACAACAAAGCTAGTGGAGGTGACAGTATTCCAGCTGAGCTATTCAAAATCTTAACAGACAATGCAGTAAAAGTGCTACACTCAATTTGCCAGCAAATTTAGAAAACTCAACAGTGGCCACAGGACTGGAAAAGGTCAGTTTACATTCCAATTCCAAAGAAAGGCAATGCCAAAGAATGTTCAAACTATCGCACCATTGCACTCATATTATATGCTAGTAAAGTTATGCTCAAAATCCTACAAGCTAGGCTCCAGCAGTATGTGGATCGAGAACTACCAGAAGTACAGGCAGGATTTCAAAGAGGCAGAGGAACTAGAGATCAAATTGCCAATATACACTGGATCATGGAGAAAGCTAGGGAGTTCCAGAAAAACATCTACTTCTGCTTCATTGACTATGCTAAAACCTAGGTGCGTCTTCTGGTCAGGAGCGTCTCATGGAGTATAAAATACAGCATATTGTAATTAGGATTTTCCTGCTTATTTAGAATTGTCTGCATAATGCCAACCTAACATAAACTGGTTAAAGTAGATCTCATATGCTAATTATCTGGATATACCATTACTACAGAGATTACATAAATCGTAGACATTTTATTTTACTGCCTATGCATGTTAAGATTCATATGAGAAACATGTTTAACGTGAATAGCATGTTAATCCAAGAGCAGAGATAACTCCTTAACAATCTATGGTCTGTTGAGACGATGTCTTGTTGCAGCTTCTAATTCCTTTCCATAGAGAATGAACTCATATAATGTCTTCACAACATGTAAGATTTCACTGAAACAAAGCAAAGCTGCTTCACACAGACCTATTCATCACACATACAGTTACAGGTCCCCCCCCCCTCTGCTAAAGCATCAGTTTCTAGATGTTGCTGCTATCAGATGAACAAAAAGAAATTACGTATAGTTGCTCCCAAAATGACAGACCAGGGGTGAAATGCTCTTGGTTCACACCGGATCACCTGATCTGGTAGCGATTGTGGCGCAAGGCTCTGCCCACCCGCCCAGTTGTCA